CTGCAGGAACACAGGCTTTACTTTGCCTCATCTGTCAAATTCTACTCCCTAACCTCCTTACATCTTTTATTGAAACCTGGAAAGATGGATTTGGATAGAATTGAGTATCTGGCAGGAGGTGGAGAAAGAGAGAATGGTCTTTATTCTGCCCTATGAGAACTTTTAACCTCATTTAAGCTTTTGTAAACCTTAAAAGAGCATAATTTTTAGATTTGGGTAGGGAGGCTGGGCTCTTCCAGTCCCGGATGGACTGTATTGTGATGCATTGCATTTGTAATACTTTCTGTTTCCTGACTGTGCTGTACTCTCCAGTTCCCTATTCTTTTTCATCTGCTGTTGTCATCCTGATCCTGGCGTCCATTAATAACTGACTGTTCTGAGTTTTTAACCTGCTAGTTGGTGGTTGTCCCACTCATTGTTCAGCCTGTTGTCCTGAATGTCACACAAGCAACTCAAGATATGAATAGCCAAAATAGTTACGGACTTGTGCTCCTCTTGCCCAGACTTGTGTCTCCTCAACCTTCACTTTCTTGGTAGGCATCATCATCGGTAAAAAGCTCCCTTGGAAACAAAAGCCAGGCCAAGGTCTCGCTTTGCTTACAGGCCGAGTGGCTTCCCACTGCTTTTGAAATGAATCAACTGTTTCACCAGGCCCACGTAGGCCTGCACGATGCAGCCTCTGCTTGCCTCTCCAGCCACAGCTTTTGCCTACTATTCTTCACATCCTCTTTTCTAGTCTTTTAACATTGTCAAGATATTTTTCTCCCACTCAGGGGCTTTTTACTTACTTGCTATTTTCTCTGTCTTCAAGGCTGTGCCCCCAGATTTCTCATCGGTGCTGGTTCTTTTTTTCCCCATTTTTCAGCTCTCTGTTCAGATTCCATAGTCTTTGAGATGCCTTTCCTGATCCCCTTGTGTGGAGCACTGATTTCTCTACTCTAGCCGTACTGTGTCCAAAGACAGTTTTTTCCTCCATGGTACTTTTAATTTGCTGTGATTCAGCTTGTTTATTTGACTAGGGTCTGTCTCCAGGATTGTATTAAGAAACTCGTGCACCGGGTTTACGGTTCTATTTTCATTGTCTAGCACCGAACCCCCACACACTAGGCACTTCAGTAAACAGTAGTTCAGTCTGTGAACACTCCTGTAAGCTGAGATCATGGAGTAGCTTCAGGAGGCCTCTCTGCCATTGTTTCTGGAGCCCTGTGAGTAATTCAGAACTTGTATTCAGCTCCTGCGCTATCCCTAGCCTTGAGTTCTTGCTTCAGGAACCCTGATTCAAGAGTGCAGAGTTACAGAGACGTGGAGGATGATGTTGACACAGAGGAGTTTCACTTTTTGCTATGTTAATTTTCTGTTTTAGTCTCTTAACAGGGATTCTCGTGAAGGTTTGCTCATATTGCTGGCTCTGGCCTTTGTCTTCCTGCATCCTAGAATGCTTGAGGAAAACACGAAGGCTTCTCTTGTCCCCGTCTTCTCTTAACTGTGCACAGGTTCCAATTTGATAGTTAACTCGTCCTCTAGTTAAGTATTCTCCCTATAACCAGGGCAGGGGTATCATTTAAACAGTCAAGGATCACACATGGCCTGTTCCTTGTGGTTTGTAGCCCTTTAACATTTTACCCAGCCTCTCTAGTCACCTAAATTCTCTTTTGCTAGTTTAATGTGGCATATGTTAAAGTTTTAGAATTTTCCCAAGTAAGTTTTGAAAGCTTAGCTGATTCCTCAAAGGCCCAAAATCACATGTCACACAAGATTTCCTGTGTGGCATTTCTTTGGGATGAACCCAAACCATGGTGTGTGTGCAAATGTGTGCGCACATGTTCGCACACAAAACACACACATATGCTTCCTTCTGTGTGTGTGTGTGTGTGTGTGTGTGTGTGTATTTTTTCTTCTACTGGATTTCCTGTATTTGTATGTTTCTATACTTAAAAAAGTATTAGGGCCCAGCAAAACTTTAATTTCGTACTGCCATTCCATACAAATAGCAAAGGGTAATATGGAGTTGCTGAACTGCAGAATTTCAGAAAGTTACTTTAGCTTTACATTTGAATTGCTTAATTTTCACTTTGAATCAGTTGCTAAGCAACCAGGAAGACAGGGCAAAATCAGCAAGGCTAATTTGGTTCTGTTACTAGTATGTTAGCATCTCTTATATTTACATAGACAGTTGGTTGTAAATACACTTCATCCAATGCAGTGCTTTGTTTGTCCAAGGGAAACAGTTGGTGTGGAAGCTATAACAAGGCTTTGGTTGGATTGACAGTGCTTAATTCACACTGTCACTTCAGTTGAATGTGAAGTTACCTGAAGTTTTGGCCCTGTGAGGTAGCCCATTTGTTTAAGTGAGGGGCCTGTTTGGTAGTAATATACACAATTGTGAAATGGTGCCCCTCACTGCGTGTCACAGCTCAACGTTGTAGATCTAGCCTGATTGTTCTGTACATCAACTTGAATCATTTTGGGAGGAATTAATACATTTAGCTATCAGTATATGAAACATATTAGAGGAAAAAAGTAGGTCATTTTGTCCTCTTTGTCTTATTACTGATGAAAGTTAAGATTGTTAACCCCATTTGTTCCATAAAGTAAGTATATGAAAAGTTAATGCTGGTGACAAGCATTTTGAATGCTTTTTTAAAAAATCATATAGCTGGGCATGGTAATTGAGCACCTGAAATCCCAGCCCTTGTGAAGCTGAGGCAGGAGGAGCGCCATGAGTTTGAGGCTAGCCAGGGCTGCCTGTTGAGTTTAAGGGCAGTGTCCACTATGTAGTGAGACTCTGTCTCAAAAAACCAAACTAAACCAAACTGAACAAAGTTATATGGTTAAGGAAATCATCTTGGCCCAGCCTAGATTCCTGTGTCAAGATAGGACATTTAATTCTGGCCAGTAGTTCCATGGTTGTGTAATTCTTCAGGAAATAAGTGGAGAGTTCACATGCATCAGGCAGCTAGAGAAACTGTCTCTTGCGGTGATGTCATTTAAGTTGCCACTGGTACAGCAAATGACCATGATCTGTGCCTTTTATAGGAGGCAGGGAGAGCAGCTTCATCTTTTAAGCTGGTTTCCTGTTTCACTCTTTGTTCTCTGAAAGACTTAGTTTCTTTCATATGCGATGAAAATTACTTTTAGTAGCTGGATCAGAGTCTTGAAAAAAATCAGTGTTCCTATATTTACCTTCTAATTGCCTGTGATTAGATAGAAATACTGAATTGATGAAAGAGATTACAGAAATGAAGAATGTACCTTTTGCTTCTATAATTAATTTTTTTTTTTTCTGAACAAAGTCAGGTACTTGTGAATGCAGTATGTGACAGTTAATTCATTGGTCCAGACTGAAAGAAAGAGTGATCTAAAGTAAAGACTAGTGTTTATGCATTTGAATGTCAACTTTAAATATTAGCTTGCTGGGAGAATTATTTCTGGTGTACGTGTGCAGTGCTGGAGATTGAACTGAGGGCCTTGTGCATACTAAGCATGTTGTCTTCCATTGAGCCACATCCTCAGTCCTCGAACTTTTTGGGTTTTTGGGTGGGCAGGGAAGGGATGAGACATTGCTCTACGCTTCAAATTGCTATCTTCCAGCGTTAGCTTCAGGGTAGCTAGGATTACAGGTGTGCACCACCACTCCTGGCTCCCCGAACATACTTACTTACTTTTTTTTTTTTTAAGGATGTACTGGGTATTGAACCCAGGCACACTGTACCACTGAGGTACATCCCCAGCCCTTTTTTTATTTGGAGACAGGGTCTCCCTAAGTTGTCCAGCCAAGACTGAAACTTGCGATCCTGCGGTTTCACCCTCCCTCAGCGCTGGCTCCATGGCACCCACCTCCTCTGAGCTTTTTTGATGGTTTATCCTCATCAAAAATGTTCGGTAAATATACCCCTAGCCACTGGACTGTGTTTCTATATATATATATTTAGAGTTATATACTTGTGTTTCTATATATATATATTTAGAGTTATATACTTGTATTGCTGTACTAATATATTGTATAAACTATAAACCAATCAGGACAGTTTCATAAAAAACATGAAGATTGAACAGTAATGTCATATATGTTAATAATAATCACCTCATACTATCATTAATACTTCAGTGTTTGTGTATGCTTTAGGGTAAGGCTCAGCATTAAAGCCAGTATTGTAAATTTTTGTGTGTTATTTTTAAATCTTATGATGACTTCGTTTCAGATCTGATTCAATCATCGTTATCCTTACCTTATAGTGCCTGACAAGAGAAGGGTCGGTTCTGCCCTTTATTTGCTTACTGGAACCGAACTACCACAATCTTTGATATTTCACTTTCTTTGCCGAAATCTTTGAAAGCTGTTTGGCCATGTTGCAGTGTTGATTATGTGCCGTAGACAGTGTGCAAAGCCACACGAGCCCAGGCACACTCACTGGAAGGCCGTCACGGCGCCCTGATAAGGAGCGGGTCGGGGACGCACTGTCTCAGTGCAAGCACAGGAATTTTCTTGCTATGCCCCAGAGGGGCATCTTGCACAACACTTGAGAGACTACTGCCCTAGGAGTACCTCCAAATAAGCCAGATTCAGGCTGTCTCATTACATTTTTAAAATTTCTGTGAGCTAAAGAGATGTGGGTTTGTGGAAAGAAATCCTGGTTTGTATTTTTGTACACAGTGAGGACTATTTGACCTTAAATATGTCTACCATGAAGTGAAGCAGAGCACTGTGGGAAAATATTAAAGGCACTGGATTGAACACTGAGTCTCCTCTCTGCCAGAACCTACCTGGGTGACAAAAGCCAGTTGACTCTCTGTAAGCTTCAGTTTCCTCATTGTAATGGCACATAGTGGCAGTGAGAATTAAACTAAAAAACAGAGGCTTATAAAAGGGTTCTGTACCATCCCTTATGTATAGTGCAATTTAAATACCTTATGTGAATGAAAGTGGAAATCATTTTCCCGTAGGTCGCATGTACGTGCATTCTCAGTGACAGTTTTTGTTTGTTTGCTTTCACTTCTAGACTGCCTCTTTAAGCTATGTCCTATGAACCGATACTCTGCCCAGAAGCAGTTCTGGAAAGCTGCTAAGCCGGGGGCCAACAGCACAACAGACGCAGTGCTACTCAACAAACTGCACGTACGTATGGTGGAGGGGCTGTTGGTGATGAGCGGCCAGGAGTGCTCGTGTGGGGGTGTTCTGAGAGTGGTGGACTGACTATGGGATTGGTTATGCAGCCCTCTAACTCCCGCTAGTGGCTTTCTTCCCTTCTTTCGTACAAGTGTAAGGGAGAGGACTCTTAAGGAGAGATGGGTCTTAGCCCTCTTGACATGCCCAGAAGTTTCTCTTTTCTCACCATTCCTTTTCAGAGGTGGCTTTGGGCAGGATAGTGGTATGAGCATTAGCTCTTGGAGATGACTGCCTAGAACTGAATCCTAGCTGTCCTGCTCGTTAGCTAGTAATCTCTTGCAAGTTGTATAGCTGTTTTCTAATGCTATAACCTACCTATCAAATGGGGACATTAGTAATATCCACCTCAAGAGCAAGTTGTGAGAGGTACATGATGGAAAAGGCCTGTATAGGCCCACGAACAGTGGCTACTGCATCATAAATGCTTAATAAGTTTTGTCTATTATCATTTTGTTTATCCTGTTATTTGACGTGTAAAATATATGCTTGTTCCACTGATGACATTGTGTGACCATTAGCAAGTTTCTGAGGCTCTCTGAGTCTGTTTCTCCAATTCAGTGACGACACTTCCTTTAGTGCCTGTACTTGGAGGTTGACCTATGTGGAACTTTTTTTATGATGTTTAGAAAGAGGACATGGTATATGTTCAGTGTAGGATTATTGAAATTGCTATCTAATTCCTACCCTCATCCTGCTTTGGTTTTTTTTTTTTTCCATGTCGCTTACAAACTTTCCAATCAGTTTTCTTTTTTGGCTGCCTCCCTTTCCTGCCTCAGCTAGAATGTAAGCTACAAGAGGGCTGAAGTGTGTGTCCAGTTTGCTTGTCGCTGTATTTCTGTTGCCTACAATGGAGTGTGGCAAGTACTAGGCACTCAGTTGGTTGACTAAGTAGACAGTGATGCCTCTTGGTGCTCAGTGGTGGCTGTTGAGGACCTAGAGTGTCCATGAGCACTGAGGAGCTCACGCAGTCACCCAGCTAAGCCTGCTGTGTTTTAGACTTACATGTGGCAGTGTCATAACCAGCTGCGTTTGGTAAAGTAGGGATCCTGTGAATGGAATCGTTTCATCATTCAGCATGTACTGTTGCAGATGAGGGTGCTTCAGGTACAAAGAGGATTAGGTTTGTAACCTCAGTGGCCCAATAGCCTGTGTAAGAATGCACAAGCAATCTCTCATTGCACCTAAAATGAATCCAGACTTTTAGCTTTTATCTCCAAGATCACACATGCCTTAACCCTACTTTTCCCTCTAAAGCTTTTGAACTGCACTCCAGCCAGAGGGGCTTGAGTTCATTTTGTTTCACTTTATTTTTTGAGTGTCTCCAGCTCACACCAGTCTCGTGAAGTTGGCATTCACCATTTTGCCTAAGTGGAACGTCCTACTGTTGGTCTTCCTAAGCTAGGACCTTTGCATCCATCACGTGTCAGGCTACCTGTCTTGTCAGCACGGTCTTCCCCCACCCACTCATCGAGGAGATATCTTGCTTATTTTCCTTCCATCACAGATCTGTTTATTTATTGCTCATCACCGATAGTATTCTGCAATTATGGTTAGTAATTTCTTTAATTATCTGTCACTTATTAGAAAGACAGCTCTGCAAGATCAGGGACATCATCTCCTGTTCACCAGGGTATCCACAGCTGCAGGAATAGTGTCAAGCACAGGGCGGGCATTTAAGAAGCATTTGCTGCTGAGCACTGTGCTAGGTGCTAATGATAGAATAGTGACAGATCTTAATCCCCTGAGCTTCCTAGCAATTCAGAACAAAGAGGTGATGATAGTGTCATAAGTGCTGTATGTGAGGACGGACAACCCAAGGCTGGGAGCTCAGAGAAAAGTGCCAGAATCTGTCTTTGCTGGGTAAGAGGAGGTGATACAGTGTTGAGGGAGGCTTCCCGGAGGAAGAGCAAGTGACATGGAAGCCTACCTGTAGGAGGCAGAGGAAGAAACAGAAAGTAACAGACAATGGGAGCAAAGACCTGGAGCTTAGACTTCAGAGACTTCAAGAATGGCATCATTATTACAATAATGACAATCTTAGTCACCACAAACCGGTCCTTCTTCCTAGCAAATATTATATATATGTAAGTTCATGCATAGGGGCAACTGCTTGAAAAGCCTCAAGAGGATCGGTGCTTGTACCTCTTTGTAAAAACCTCATGAAGGAGGTGTGAATATAGGACTAGTGGAACAACAAGCCTGCTGTCATTTTCCCAGATGGCCAGCAGCCCTGGAAAATGTTACAAAGGATGCAAACTGTACTCGTCCCTTCATTTACAGTCCTTGTGCTTTTGAAAAATGTGATAATAATGGCCCTAACAAAACCCTGCTTTCACTGATAATGCAGAATGGAGTGAGGAGCTAGATTCAGATAGTTAGAGGTGTCTTTTAACCTGTGTGAATGTCCAGTGAGCCATAAAATTGGATGCAGTGAGTGACAGTTCCTCATACTGAACTGAAACAGGCATCTCACAGGAAGTCCAGCAAGTCCAACATGGCTCCTCCTCGCTACTAAACGTCACCAGCCCCCTCCGCGTCTTCCACTTGTCAGCCAATCCATAACCTCCCTGAAATCTGTGGTCAGAACATGGACTTCTCACTGAATGGGTGGGGAGGTTGCTCAGTCCTGTGGGTCTCCCAGGAAGGAGCTGATCACTGCACATGCCTGGGGGTTATCTTGGTGGAAGGGTCCTGCCTTGCTTCTTTGGTATAAAAATTGTTCGTTCAATGAGATCTTACTAGTGCTTCCCAATTCTCCTACGCTTTTTTACATCAGGGTTGCAGATTCATATTGCTCTTAGCCAAGCAGGAAGCCCACAAGAATGAAGGGGTTTGGTAGACGTTGTTCCCAAGTGGAGTGTGCATGTGTGCCAGTCTGCAGGGGTACCTCTAGGCCCTGCCGTGACTGTGTGGGAGGGTGGGTAGAGTGCTACACCGCCATATTCTGCTATGTGAAGAGAAGATAAAAGTCCAGGAGACTGTGAGTATAACACTTGGCCTAGTGTGCACCAGGACCTGGGCTCCATTCCCAGCACTAAAAAAGAAAGAAAAATGTGTGCTTCTATGTGTGATATCTCAACTTTAAAAACATTTGCCAACTAATTCAATTAATTAGTTGATTTAAGGCTTAAAACATACTCAGGACCAGCCCCAAGTGGCCCACCCTCAAGCTGTGTTAGCCCCATTTGCAACCTGTGATCTATACTTACGTTTCGTTAGCAATTCCTTTTGATGCACCTTTGTGCAAATGAGTGGTGAAAAGCAGTGCAGTGGAAAAAAAATTCGATTCTAGCAGTGACCCAGTGCTTTAAAATCCTAATGAAAGAATGAAAATGAATCATGGCTTTCATGCTGTTGTTTATAGAAATGTAAAAGCAGACCAGTTCTTTTCCCTGATTTGAAATTACTGGCATGACCTTTGGGTCCTGAGTGCTGATTTGTGCCTGGCTCTGCGCAGGTTCTGTCTCCTGCTTAGTTGGAAGGTTAGCCTCTGTTGTCTGCAAGTCATCTGCATGTTTTAGTACAGTCATTAAAATGCTGTGTTTTGGACAGCCACCTGCCTTTGGGGGCTGATGGCCAGTCTACATTGGTTTTTTTGTTTTTATTTTTGTCAACTTCTGTGCAGCACCCTGGTCAAAGGTCAGCTTATTTTCAATTACTGCCATTTAAGGAATTCGTTGTCTAGACCACTTGACTTCCTTTTGACTGGGATAAGAATACAGCGCTTTGAAGGAGAATGACATCTAGTGGCTGGTTGCTGTGTACGTTCATGCTTTCTGCAGGGGCAACTGGGTTTTGACTGTTGGTCATGATTTTATGAAAGTTTCTTGGCAAAATGAGCTTTTATCACTTTCAAATCACATAATTTGTTGCAAAAGCCTTGATGACTGTTTCCTAACAGGAGTTTCCTGTTACCTTGAAGCAGGCACCTAACATTGTTTGGATTCTGAGAAATGATCGCTTGAATTGAGCCCTTGCTTTGACAAACTAGAAAGAACCAGAGAAGTGACAAGTCTTTATTGTCTTTTAAGGCATGGCTTGGGAGTTGGTTGTTTTTAGAAGCCTTAATTCAATACTGCATTATGTGCTTCCGAGCTTATTGACCTTAAATAAATAATCTTTCCCTACTGTTTCAGTGACTCTTCATAATAATTCAATAAAGGTTTCTCTATTTTTGAAATAAAATAACAGTTAACTGTAATGAATTGACCTTGATGTTGTTTAGGAAACACGATAATGTCAGTGATGAATAATAATGAAAGAAACCATAGCATAGAGTGATTTTTTTCTGAGAAATTAAAAACAATCCTCAGCCCATTATGTAAGAGACAGGAATAACAGGTATTTAAATTATCAGACCTTTTAAAGAATGAAAAGGTAACAGATATACAATAGCTTTTAAAAGCATCCAGGCTGCTTGCCAGAGCAAGAATGAGGCATTTTTCAAGAAACTGGAAACATGAATACTACAGGACAAGAATTCCCAAATATATATGACTAGGAAAAGGAGAAAGAAAATTTACTGATTTGATCCCTGAATCTTATTATTCAAAGAAAACCTTGGTTTTTATTTTGGCGCATGCCCTGCTCCCTTGGTGAGATTTTAAACCATAAATGGGAGCGTACTGTTTTCCCTTACTTTAGCCTGCCCCCCACCCCCGCACTGTTTTGAATAAATAGAAATCGATTCTCATTTTTAATGGCTACATAGTTACTCCATTGTATGGCAATATTGTAATTTTAGATACCCAGTCCTTATGAGGGGCTAGGAAGTGATATTTAGGATTCTGACAATATTTGCTAATTTGGAAAAAAAGTTTTGGCCTTGTGTGCATGCTGGGTTATCTAAGCAGGACAATCTCCTAAAAGTAGAATTGCTATGTCAAAGTTATGTCTTTGAAAAACTTTCTGATGGATACTGCTAGATGATCTTCCAGAAGAAGTATGCCAACTCCTGGCTACACTGAGGGCCCATTCTTACAATGCGCTTACAGGGTTTGACAAACTGTGAGCTCGCTTTTTTCAAGGTGGAAACAACCTTAGTCAGTGGGCCTAGGTATAGTGTGTACCTTGCTACTTTTTATCTGCCTTTGCCTAAAATTCATGACTGATCTTGTTTTGTCTAAAAAATGAGTTTGGTTTCATGAAGAGAGTTATCTATGGACAGATGTGTGAACTCAGATTAATGCATTTGACATTTGTGCATTTAGTAAGAGGTGAGTTGGAGGCATCTCTCCTTAAACAAAGAGAATTTATAAGAAAAGTGAATTCTTAGATTGGTCCATAAGCTAATGCATTTAATGTTTATTCAGTGGTGATGTGTAGGCTCAGACATCATTAAACTTGTTAACAGAGATATAAAAGTTTTAATTCTGAGCTTGTCAGAGAATTGTAACTGAGTGTTATACTTATCTTAGCCAAAAGGCAGAGAAGCGATTGTAGCTATATTGTAGATATTCAGGAATATCTTGAAGAGAAGTACTTACGTTTTATTCTCTACTTTCATACTTGTTTTCTGTGTATTTTACCTTTTATATGTCTTCAGACAGATGCTCTTATTTCTTTAGAGCTGCTGTTTTTAAGTTAGTCTTTAATGTGGAATAGTTAACTCTTTGATGACTAATTTGGTATGTCTTTGGTAGCTACACAATGGTCGTTAGGTTGCTGCTTGCACACCTATTCTAAGAATGGTTAGGACCTTAACATTTTACATTAGTGTATCTTTTTATCAGTATATGTTTGCAATAAAGACATTCACCATGGGGAATCAGTACGTGCGCAAACCACTTCTTCGTCCTTTTTAAAAAATACAGACTACTTCACAAATTTGGGTGTCCTTATGCAGGCCCATGCTAGTCTTGTCTGTATCATTTCAGTTATAGTACGTGAGCTGCTAAAGCAAGCACAGATTAGTGTGTCTCATACTGAGGCCTCTGGAAATTCTTAAGAGTGAAGGGAATGTCTGTGAGAATTTCCCTTCTTGAAGAGGGACGATTTAAATCATTTGGATCCAGAAATGCTGGTTAAGAATTCTGTAACAGCATAGTGTTAAATTATTTTTGGTTTTGGAAAAAAATGTTAGATTTTATTTTACTGAATTGATTGATGTTTTGTCCTACCTTTGACATTTTTCCCCCCTTAGGTTTCTAGTCAGTATTAGCTGAACACTGCTTAGCAGAGAGAACAAATAACTCTCTGTGGTCTATAAAGCTTCCTTCCAGATGGATCCAGTGTTTTGTTTGGAAAACTACAGAACCTGTGGGTACTGAAGAGATCTCTGGAGGGGTGAAGCACAGGCATGGAGAGCGGGCGAACAAGAGACGGGTAGGGAGCAGTAGCGGGCAGTCAAGGGAGTGGGTTTATGGAGCGTAACAGAAAATGAAGAAGCGTGCCGAGGGCAGGTGGCTACCAAGCGTTGCTGTGTTGTCTGCACTGGCATTATGTCTGGGTGTGTCTTGAAGCCAGTGCAGCTGGGTTCCTTGTGTAGCTATGGGTAGAAGCGTTGTACCTGATTCCAAAGGAGAGGGAAACCTGTGAACGGACCGCGTCCTCAAGAGCTGATACGGTGCAGTCAACCTATAGCTATCCAAACTAGTGTATGCAGATCGTTCGCCTCTTGTAATAGTTTTATTTAGGGTTGTGATTGCTTTTTGCAGTTTTCTTAAAGGATATGACTTTCTAGAAATATCTACCCTTCAGATAGAGCTGGAGTAGATACTGAATTTGAGGGAAACTGAAAGATTTTTGTCTCCGCTAATTTAGGCCATGCTTTGAAATCTTTATCTTTGGAACATTTCTTAGTTTTAGGAACTTGTTTTAATAATAATAGTTAATTTTTCTTGTTTTAGTCAGTGGGATGGGCATCTAGCTGCGTGGTAGAGCACTTGCCTAGCATGTGTGAGGCTCTGGGTTCTATCCCAGCACCACCCATCCCCTAAATTACTGAATATTTAACGATGTCTCTGGCATGTGTTTTCACTAATCTTCGTAGTAGCCCTGAAAGGCTTGTACTGTCTCCATTTTGTGATGAGAATACTGAATGAGGGTTGGTGAGATTAAGTGACCTGAACTAGAGTGGAAAGTTCGTACACAGGAGACCCAGGCCCAGGCCGGAAGGACCCTGTGAAGATGAAGACGTACCACCTGGGAAAGGGGAAGCATTTTGCTTCATTGAAAGCAGACACTCTACGAGGATACTGGAAATGCTTCTGAAGTGCATTATTGGTCATCAGGATTTTCCCTTCCATCAGGTTCCAGGCGGGACATACTCCTGGTCTAGGATTGGAAGACAGGGATTGGAACAACAGTCTGCTGGTTGCCTAGGAGTCAGTGAGCTCCCCGTTAGTGGTAGTGTGATGGGTGACAGTGCAAAGTGGCATAGGTGAATTAATAAAAGATTTTCTGATGCCGTTCCCAGCAGGCTGTTCCAGAATTCTCTGGTCAGCGTTGCCATGTTTTCTAGGTTGCCAGATTTGGGCTGGTAATGTTTCCCAGCCTCCTTTGTAACTCTACAAATTTGGAACTAACCCAAATGTGGATTTGAGTATTATCTTTGCCACTTAGTAAATGTACAATTAAACGATAAACTTATGAAGTAAAATTTCAAATGTACACAAAAGTAGAGAAAATAGCTAAACAAGATTTTGTGGTTTGTAATGTCATTATCAGTTAGTTATATCAAGCTGCTTAATGTGTCAGTTTTTTAAAAAACTGAGATGATAATCTTTGCTTCAAGGAACTACTGTGAAAGTTAATTGAGTTATACTTAATATCTAATAGTAACAACTAACAATCCACATATGTTACATGACCAGGCACCATGCATTGTGAGTTCTTTGAGGTGTAGGTTCCATTTTTATTCTCATTTTACAAAGAGGAAATAGGCTCACACATGTTAAAGAACAGGCTCAAGGTCACAAAACCACAAACCAACAAAACCGGCCTTTAAATCCAGTCTTGTTTTACTCTCAAACCTTAAAGAGGAATTTTATGAATCATAAAAGGATATGCAAATTCCCTTCTTCCCTGACTCTAGTTTCTTTAAAAACATGGAAGATTTTGGCCAGTCTGTCTCTAAAGAAAATGTACGTGAACTCTGTAAATAAGAAAAAACTTATTTCCAAGTATCCAGAAGAGCCAACAAAGCAAAGTGGAGTGGATTGGCTTTGTCGTCCTTTGGCTCTTTTCTCGTAGCCTCAGGGTGTACTTAGAGTTCTGCTTATTTTTGTGGTTCTTGTGTTCACTGGTGACATTTGCTTTGCATTGCTGCAGAGGAATATAACGTTCCTCTGTGTGACCAGTCTTCTTCTCACTGTACAGCACGCTGCAGACTTGGAAAAGAAGCAGAATGAGACAGAAAACAGAAAATTGCTGGGAACCGTAATCCAGTACGGCAATGTGATCCAGGTAAGTCAAGGGACCTCTTCTCTTCTGGAGCTGAAGCATGACGAAGAATGAAACAGAAAGCAAACACATGACACAGGGTTTGAATTCCTTTGCAGCATGACTCCATGGGAACAGCCAATTTATTACCAAAAAACAAAACAAAAAAAAAGCGCACCAAACCCAAACCTGTTTGTTGTTATATGTGATGAAGCCTTGGGCTGTTCAGTTGGTTCATCTCTTGGTGTGAGAGTCTCCTTGCTCTGCCTGTAGCTGATAATTTATGTCTAAATATTTCAAGCAGGAAGCTTCCTACCTTAAAACAATCCTATTTATTACAGCTTTGCTTTAACTTACATTGTTTGAAGGTTCTTGCTATGTGGTGAAAATTGGCTTCCTTGTAACTTGAATCTTCTGTTCAAGAACTGTTCACCAGAGACAATAAGAACGATTTTATACCTTTAGAACTTTTTTACTTTTATACTTTTAGTGCCATTTTGATACATTTCATATTAATAGAGTATTTAATGCTTATGCAACAGCTTCCACAGAAGATTCCAGTTTTGCAGAAAACTGTGAGGAAGCCTGTTGCCCAGGCACCTTCTCCATTTGCCCAGTTACCAGACCCCCTTTGAACCAAGCACAAAGAGTATCTACCAGCTTTTGAGCAGCCGTCTCATGTGGCTATTTGATTTCACTATGCCCCTTTTTGAAAGGTGGTTTTTGCTATGTACACTTTACTCACTCCAAAGTACTTTCTTCTCATTTTTAGGGTGGTTAGCTAGAGAGTGGCACTAATCAGGAAGATGGAAAAACTGCTTAAATATGGTAAAAGCAACCTTTTGGGTTTGCATGGGTTTACACGAGAACTTTAGAATAGCAAAAGCAGCTCCTAAAAGCTTTTTGAGGAGTAGGTTCTGCTGGTCCTCCTGATACAGAGGAGAGAAACTCCCAACCTGAAAGATATCTGGGACGAGTTCGTGTTTTCTAAAATCAAAGAATGAATTTTAGGAACAACGGAGGTTAGGAGCAGAATATATTTATTGAAGGAAAGAAAGCTTCTGTCCAAGAGAGAGACAGAGGAGACCCGAATGGGTTGCCAAGGACCCCGCCTTTCCTAGGGATTTTATAGAGCAAAAACCACAAGGTGAGTCATGTCCAAGGTGGGGGGAAAAATGGAAAATTGTAAGGTGGGCATGAGATGGTACAAAACTATGGTCAACCAATAAGATTGCAAGCGTACTTGCTCAGTTAAAATTGATTATATCAGGATCAAATAGGGAAGCTAGTCATGTAGCCAGCGGACAAGAAAACACAACAGGGGCTTTTCCTATAGGGGTTGAGTTAGTGACTCTTCCTGGCTTTCTCATGGTGATAGAGACCTACTTAGAATATCAATCCCTGATGTTTATCCTTAAGGAGGTGCGTGTGTGCATTTGTTTTATCCTTTGTCTTGAGGTCTTGCCCCCAGCTGGAGGTGTCTACCCACCCCCCCCACTTGCAAGGTATCCCATCTTCCACACTGGCTCCTTCTAGGGCCTGGCGCTGTCTGACTGCCTATAATATTTTTATCTAACTCATGTCCTGTCAACTGAGAATGGATACAAGGGCCCAGGTGGGATCAAAGTTCAGTGTCAACTCCTGTAATCCCAGGTCGCTGGGGGACTGAGCCAAGAAGGTCGCAAATTGCCAAGCTTGGATGATTTCGTGACTTAGACCCTTTCTCAAAATAGAAACTAAAGAAGAGCTGGGAACATAACTCGGTACACAAATCCTGGGTTCAGTACCAAGTACCAGGCGGACACAGTTCCAAGTCAGCTTTATTACTGAGTGAGGCAAGTTCCCTGGGACCTAGAGCACAAGACTCCCTGATTTGGTTAGGCCAGAGAGAATATGGCTTGAGGTGCAGAGGTGCCTAGGGGCTAAGGACAGCAACTCCTAGGTGTACTCTAATCAGGTTTTGTAATTCACTGTGATTTGGGGGAAGAAATCTTGCCATGTCTCAGTTTTCACAAGAAGATGATACACTGGTATCTGCATCTGCTTCCTGTGATGGTTGAAAGGTGCTTAGGACAGAATAAGCTGTAAATATTTAAAACAAATCATAGCTTTATTACTTCCCCCAAGCTGTCCACATGTAGGTGATGCTGGTTTATAAACCACTTGAGTCCAGAGCCTGGAAGACCAGAGGCCACTCATCCAGGGGCAATGAGGGCTTGGAGGGACATTGTCTTCCCCATGTTTATCATGGCCAGAGATTTTCTGGGGCTCATGAATCAGACAAGTTACTCCTCCCTCTCAGTAGCCCTGTTAGAATATTTGGGGACCTCTTAAGGTTGTTGTAGAAACTGTATCTGTTAACATGTAAGCAGAAGGATTTTGGCATTTGGCAGTGGAGTTCCAAGCTGATCCTTCCATTACTCCAGGGACTGGGCAGTGTTTCATGTTCTTTTCAATTTTCTCTTATAACCTGTTGACCTGGGAAGCCTTAGTGAACTCTTCCTGGACTAAACTGATTATCAGACAAGCTGTTTCCTGTCTATATCTTCAGTCTTGCCATCCCCTTTATGTATCATTATCAGAGAATCAAGAATCAAATGCTTGAATCATCCTAAGTAGAAGTCTACAACCACCATATTCTTCTCAGTGAAATGGTAATCCCCTAAAAGGGTTGCCTTTTAAATTAAATTTGTGTGTGTGTGTGTGTGTGTGGCACTGGGGATTGAACTCAGGGCCTTGTGCATGCTAGGCAAGCACTCTACCACTGAGCTACATTGCCAGCCCTCAGACTTGTTTACTGTGATCAGAATTGCCCCGCTTAGCTCCACCTCCGCGTGAGGTTGTGTTCCAAATGCGGTTCCTTAGCCTCTTGCACAGGGTTGGAACGCTCCCCACCGACAGATGGCAGATGACGGATAGTACAGTTGACCTGAGCAATATCCATCTTGCCCAAGGCTATGTTGAGAAGAAACATTTTTTCTTTTATTTTGCCCTCTATTTCTGCACTGTTTACTGTTTGTTCTTTTTTTCACTCACAGCCTTAGGCACTTTGAGATTTTTCTAACTTCACAAACATCTTTGTTTTGGGAGGAATGTTTGATACATGTTTTATCTGACGAAGAGAAATAGTAGAAAATTCTGAGATGTACTGACACTCACTGTATTCTCTTTGTGGGTTTTTAGCTTCTGCATTTGAAAAGTAATAAATACCTAACTGTGAATAAGAGGCTCCCAGCTCTGCTGGAGAAGAATGCCATGAGAGTGACCTTGGACGAGGCTGGAAATGAAGGGTCTTGGTTTTACATTCAGCCATTCTACAAGCTGCGATCCATTGGAGACAGCGTAAGTGCAGATTCGCAGCCTGGAGACTGCTCCTTGCCCTGCTTCCCTCCATCGCTGATTGTGAGACTCCACCAGGAGAAGTTTAGAGTTAAATGAGTGGCGTATCCTGCATGAAGAGATCCAAATCGCTATGGAAACTAGTGTTTGGGAAACAAGGAAATGTGGAGAGAAGTGTGACCTAAATGAAGTGGCTAAGTTTTTCTAACTGGGCCTCTGAAACGAAAAATCCTAGGAACATCCGTTACCTCAGTAATTTTACCACAAAAACAGCCATCCCATCTTAATGTCCTGGGGAGACACCCTGTCATTTCAGATCCATTACTGGAATAAAAATGCCTGTCTGTTTTGGAAATAAAGTTGGTAAAAGATGGAGGATGGAAAGACATAGCTATACCAGCCAAAGAGAGCAGATTTTAGGATTCATCTGACTTGTTTCTATGGGTGGGCCGCAGGCTCACCATCTCATTCAGCAGTTACAGCTGGTCTGAGCTGGCCCTGTCCTGATGGTATTTTAGAATGTAAAGCCACAGGAATCCTTTTCAGTGTGACTTAGAACAGTTCCTATATTTGTTAGTTAAATTAGTTGGCCATTATGTGGTACATACTTAATGAATATATTTGAATGCTATCAGTTATGTTCTTGACTTTGTTAAGGTTCTAACGTAGTTGCTTTTTACTAAAAAGAAATTTGAACCTTAAACAGCACAAAGGGTTTGACCTTTTTTTTTGAGATAGGGTCTCAATATGCGGTTAAGGCTGGTCTTGAACTAACTATGTAGCCTAGAATTCAAGGTGGTAGCAAGCCTCTGCCTCAGCCTCCCAAGTACGGGATTACAGGCGTGTGTTACCAAACCCAGCAATTGTGACTTTTTTTTAGTAGTGCCATTTAAGTTTGCACACTTCGAGCAGTTGAGATATGTTTGTGTGTTTGTGTACATTGTATTATTTAATACAGAGCAGACCACTGCCCCACAGCTGGTGTGCAGTGAATACTGATCCTTAGATGAGAATAGGAAAGCAAGCCCAGGTTTTATCACAGGGGTAGATTTACCGAGTGAACTCATACTCATTAGGAGTTAGAGACGTTGAAGTTGTATATGCTCCCCAAATGTATCAAAGTGAAACTAGTTGGGTTTTATGTCTTAGGAAATCATCTCCCCTGCCCTTCCTCCCCTCGCCCCCCGTAATAAAAAGCAGATGTGAATGGTTCTCAATTTCACTCTCACCAATGCTTTTGCTTTTCTGTTCTTTAATCTGTCTAGCCATGACTTAGTTGAATAGATGTCTTGAATAGTTAACGTTATAGAATCGTGCTTTTCAAACCAGTGGTACTGACCCAATCATAGTTCAGGAAATCAGCTTAGTGGCCTGCAGCATCATTTTAGAAAGCAGATAGAATAGATAGTAGCAGGCTGTATTCCACATGACAGTAAGTACTGTTGGTGGGGAGTGCCGTTTGCTTCGGATTATATATATGTACGCATTGCTGAACATATGGATGCTATACGTATGGAGTTAGTAAATGGATGGAGTAAGTGTATTTCTTGTGTATGTCATAGTCACAAAAGTATGAAGAACATTGTTTCAGAAACTATGGCTTCATTCTTTAAAGAGAAAAAGTTAGTATCCTATTTTCCCTAAAATTTATTTGAGTGTATTTGTACAAATGTCTATACAGAATGTTACAAAGATTAAGAATTTTTTTCTAATTACTCTGGCTTGACTTAGAAAATACTGCATAACGGATGACAGTTGGGCACCAAAATGCCTTCTCAACCGGAGCCGCAGCCGCGCGAGTTGGGCTTTCCAGGCTGTGCTGCATGCGCTGCGTCCCTCCGGTCAGATGGGCCTGGCTCAGTACCGCACCCGCGGCTCCTCCCGGCGCGGCCCAGTCTCCACTTCGATCTGCTCTGTGAAAAGCTGTTGCCCCTTGTTTTTCCAGGTGGTCATAGGTGACAAAGTCGTGCTGAACCCTGTCAATGCCGGCCAGCCCCTGCATGCCAGCAGCCATCAGCTGGTGGACAACCCTGGCTGCAACGAGGTGAGGAAAGTCAAGTCATGGTTTACGGGTGGGATGGGGCTACAGGAGCAGCCCTTCCTCGACCCAAAGCATGTGTGCACTGACGTTGACTTTAGCAGTGACTTGGGGCACTGGGCCCGTTTTGCAGGTGAAAAAACTGAGGCTGTCACATGAGTGTGCAGTTCAGTGCAGTAGGTGGTGGGTGGGAGCTTGTAGCTACCCCTCTGCTCAGACTGCTTGCATGACTGAGGGATTGTTTTCTATTGTGTAAAGTCTGAAGGCCCCTTTTATCAACTGTTTTCTAGCCATAGGGACTTTCTCTAATTTATTTTCCTAAAAGAAGTTGCCTTTTCTACATTCTTAAGAAAGGGTCCATCAGAGAACATGAACAACCCTGGGAGAGCACCTTCCTTTTGGCTATACATCTGCTTAGCCTCTACATTGGCAGTTTAGGACCCAAGATAGTAACTTGCTTTTGACATGATCATTTGCCTAATGGCTAAGGATACAAGCTCTAGAGTGAGACAGATGTGGACGCAAAGCTCAAGTCTGCCAATGCCCAGCTCTGCAACCATAGGCTTAGTTGCCTAATCTCCCTGTACATCATTGGACCTGTTAAAATTATTCCTGTCTTTTAGGGTGTTGCTGAGGGTGAAATGAGATGGTGTGAGGGTGCAGCTCAGAGACTGGCACATGTATAGTGAACAAATAAGGCTTCTGTTTATGCTGATTATTAATATTGCACATGTATGCACTAGGCTCACTTCCTGCCTTTGTAGTACATTTATTTTGTAAGTACCTGCACTTGTTTCCCTTTGGCCTTCACTGTTTTGGCTGCGCAGAACAAGAGACTTAGGAGTAAAGGAAAACAGCTTCCAGAAGGGCGGGAAGCCTGGTGCCTTCAGTTGTGCTTGGAGTGAGTAGTGAAGGGTGCAAATGCACCCTACCTGAGCACCTTTAACTGGGCGATTGACTTCACAGGTGCTGTGTTCTCCGCGGCGTCAGGCTTCAGGTATCTGTGCTGAAGCACAGCCGGGCTTCTGGGGCTGCAGTGAGGCGTTCTGGGGCTCGATGACACCGTTGTTGTGTCAGAAGTATGTGAAGGAATGACTCTGGGTTGTTTTCTAGGTCAATTCCGTCAACTGCAACACAAGCTGGAAAATAGTTCTCTTCATGAAATGGAGTGATAACAAAGATGACATTTTAAAGGGGGTGAGTTTGATCTTTATGGGCTTGGTGGCTTTTTGGTACTTGGCTTTTCTTGGGGTAGCAGTTTAGTGTTCTTTTCAAACTCATTTTTCTTTAATTTCTTCTTGTGCTGACCCTCAGGGCGACGTCGTGAGGCTGTTCCACGCTGAGCAGGAGAAGTTTCTCACCTGCGACGAGCACAGGAAGAAGCAGCATGTCTTTCTGAGGACAACCGGGCGGCAGTCAGCTACATCTGCCACCAGCTCCAAAGCCTTATGGGAGGTGGAGGTAGGGAGGGGCGAGGGAGCAGGGACGAGGCACCCGGGGTTTATGGGATGTAGCCCCTCCACAGATATGTTCATAGATCATGCTCAGGTCCTTATTCCCACTTCACTGCAAAACTGACTTAGTGAATATGTGCCCCGGGATGTATCAGAAGGATGCCGCGTGTTCTTACGAGGGACATACCTACTTTGTGAGCAAACTCAGACCAAATGAGAGTTTCTCTCTCTGCCTCAATACAGTAATTTTTTCATTGTTTGTTCCCTTGCTTATTTGTGTGCCACAGCCATTATTCAGTGAGATCTCTCCCCGACATAGGTGGTTTCTACATTGATGATGGGCCACAAATGAAAAGATAATTCAATGGAGTACTGCTCAGCCATAAAGAAGTATAGATTTGAGTCATTTGTAGGAAAATGGATGGATCTTCGAACGAGAATGCCAACTGAAATAAATCAGACACAGGTTGAATATTGCGTGGCTCCTCTAATAGGAGAGACCCAAAATATGAATAATTTAAAGAACAAAATTAAAGAGAAATGGTAGGAAACAGGGAGGTATACACTGTCGAGATGGGGAGAGCACCTGGAGAAGGAGAGAGAGGGGAAGATGGCTGGTGAGAGAAAAGGGAGGAAAATGATCAAGGGGCAGTGTGTGTACGTGCCACATATGCCAGGTGAACATGACTACTGTGCATTGCAAACATGCACCAATACAAAATAAAGGGAAAAGGAAAACATACGCACCCAGGTAACTGGCACTGAGGCTGGAAGGTCAGGGCTGTTCTGCATGCTCTAGAGGTCTTGCTAAGGAAGACAAGCTTATTGGGGCAGTAGTATCTGAGCCCTTGCTTCCTGGATGGTCTGAAGTTCAGAAGGAAGCGAGGACTGGAGGAGGTTGCTTCATGTCAGAGAAGGGCCTGGAATTGGAACTAGGAGACAACCACAGGATAAAACTCAGTAACTCTGTTTGGGAGTATAGGCCGCTCGTGAGAAATTAAACAGTGAGTATTATTGGAGCCCAGAACCTGAAGGGCCTTATATCCAGTCTCTAGGGAGTTGGAATTTACTTAACAGGCAGGAGAGAAGTGTGGAAAGGTGTGTTGAGTAAGGAAGAAACATGATTCTGTCCATAGCATACAGTTCTCTGGAAGAGGGACTAGCCTGCAGGGAGGTAGAACTCGCCCTGCTCTTCTTCTCTGTGTAAGTGCTTCTTTGAATATGTACGTTTCCTTTCTCCACCCGCCTCCTCTCTCCCCTTTACCTGGCCTCAGCTGTTTTTACTGAAATCTGGCCCACACACAGTACTGTGCCCACGTCATAAGTAGATAAGTTCAAGCATTTTTACATATATCCCTTCAGCCATGGAGCCAGTGTAGCACTCACATCGAGAAGATCAGGGTTCTTTCTAGCCCGTATTCCCCTTACCCGGTTTGGTTTTTTTTCTCCATAAATTAGCATTGCCTATTCTTGAACTTTATATAAATGGAATGAAGCTGTTCAGTCTTGTGGTTTGGTTTGCATGTATCGAATAGTTCATTCCTTTATATTGCTGCATAGTATTCTACTCTGTAGATATTCCACAACTTGTTATCCTGTTCAACCGGGGATGAACATGGAGTTGTTCCTGATTTTTGGCTGTTATAAATCTGCTAGGGATGTTTGTGTGCAGGTTTATGTATGGACACATACTTTCATATCTCTTGGCTAAATACTTAGAAGTAGAATAGCTTGATCATGTGGTACATGTATATTTAACTATATAAGAAATTGCCAAACTATTTTCTAAAGTGATTAGAACATTTCACATTTCTTCCAGAAATGTATGGAAATTCCAGTTCTTTCATATCTTAACTGACAGTTGTTATGATCACTCTTTCTAATGTCAGTCATTTAAATTGATACGTAGTGAAATCTCATGTGGTTTTGGTTTGCTTCTGCCTTATAGCAAATGATGGTGAACATTTTTTTCTTGAGTTCCTTTGGCCATCTGTATGTCTTCGATAGTGAACATTTGTTAATATGTTCTGCCTGTTTTAAAATCTCACCATTCTTTTAACACTGATGTGGAAAGAACCAGGTTTATCTTGGCCATTGTGTAGAAGAGTTGCTACAAGTTGTCATGATATAAAGGAATTTACATAACATTTTTTGTTAAGTTCCACTCTATCCATTTTCCTATGCCTTCTTTCCACATTTGAGTATTTACTTTTTTATTAAATGTCCACGTCTGTGATGCAGTGACACTATCAATCCTATTATGCCATGTTATAAGCTCTTTGAGATCTGTAACTTTGTCTCAAACTTCGTAATTGATCACCAATGACCCCACTGTTCTACCAGAGTTTTTTGTGTTAAAAACAATTTCTCAGAACTGCTTTTTATGTGTAATGTATGTATTCGTACAGAAGGAGAGGGAGAAGGAGAGAGGTGATTTTCATGGTGTTTGAAACTAGTAAATACAAACTTAAGGAAAAATTGAAAATCAAGAAAATGAGGAAAGGGGCAAATGATTGTTTTACCAACTTAATATACTACTTCCATTGAACCATTTTTCTATGGAAATATTTTTGCATACTTGACATTGTTTTATAAATCATTTTGCACCTTAATTTCACTTGCAAGGAAAAGATGCATAAATGTCAGAACCCTACAGAAGTCCTCGTAGCTAACTTTAGTGCCATAAAAGCAGGAACTGTGTGTTGTTCACTCAAAACTGATTGAAATAAATAATCAATAATCTGTGGGTAATTTAATTTAAAAATCCATTTCGCAGTACTTTCTATTTCTTATTTTCTTCTTTGAAGAAACAGCCAATTATTACTTCATTAGGGATTTTTTTCTTTCCCCCTGAATTTCCTAGGAAAACATTTAAAGTCTTTCTTTAAATTTTTTTTCTCTTCAGATTCTCAAAATTTAGGTACCATTTCAAAATAAAAGAAGGCAGTCAGTACCATGTATTTTATGTTCTTAATAATGATCTAGAGTTTTCATTATATAGTACATCTTTAGCTTACTGACACCCTGCTTTACATAATACTGTGAAGTTAGTCCTTTATAATAGTTCATTTCTAGTCTCCCCTTTTATGTTATTATCATACATTTTTCTACACATGCTGTGAGCCCCATTGTGCATTTTTATTTACTTTTTGTTTAAGAAGTCGCTAACATTTTAAAGACATGTAAATATGAGAGCACAGGGGTCTTTACATTCACCCATGTAGTTATCATTCAGACCTCTGCATTCCTTTCTGTAGACCCAGATTTTCATGGAGTGTCATTTCTCGTAGTGTAGATCTGTGATGGACAAATTCTCTCCACCCTTCTTTGTGTGAAAATATCTTTATTGTGCCTTCATTTGAAAAGTGTGTTTATTTTCCTTTTAAAAATTTAATAGCTTTATTGAAATGCAATTCAGTACTACATGGTTCACACATTTAAAATGTAGAATTCAGTGGGTTTTAGTAGGTTCATAGAGTTGTGCATCCGTTACCACATAACGTTTAGAACATTTTCATCATCCCCAAAGAAACTCTGTAGCTGTTAACAGTCACCGTCCCATTTCCCTGTAAAATTTCCCCGGACCCCATTGCCCTTGGCACCTAATCTACCTTCGGTGTCTATGGCTTTGTCTATGCTGGATATTTCATGTGATTGGAATCCTATGGCATGTGGTCTTTTGTTTTTGACTTCTTTTAGTTAGGAGAATGTGTTAGTCTACTTCGGGCTACTATAACAAAATACTATAAGCTAGGTGGCTTTTAAACATCAAAAATTTGTTTCTGATGAGTCTGGAGCCTGAAAGTTCAAGATCAAGGCCTCAGCAGTTCGTCTGGTGAATGCCTGCCGCCTGGTTCATCTGTTACGTCCTCACAGAGCCGAAAGAGGGCAGCTTTGTGGAGTCTGTCATAGAAGGGGACCAATCCTGTTCATGAGGGCTCCACCCCCCTGAGCTAATCGCCTTCCAAAAATCTCACCTTTTACATCCCTTTGGAGGACAGGTTTCAAGTGTGATTTTGGGGGAACCCCAACATTCAGACCATAGCAAATGATGTTTTCAGAGCTCACCCCTGTTGCCACGGGTATCAGCACTTCATTATTTTCTTTCCACATAACGGATGTACCATATTTTATTTATTGACCTATCATTTGATATAACTTAGGTAATTTCTGCTCTTTGGCTCTTGGGAAGAGTACTGCTCTGAACATTTATGTGCACTTGTTGGGCCAGGTACATTTCAGGTCTCTTGGGGGCAGAATTATGGGCATATGCCTCCCTCTGTGTTTACCCTTCTGAGGAGCTGCCAGGCCCGCTTCACCATGTTACATTCCTGCTAGCAGCAAACTGATTCTCGTTTCTCTATGTGGCCTCCAGTTCTGAAGGATATTTTTGCTGAATGTAGGTTTCTAGATAAATAGGTTTTTTCTCTGTGTGCCTTCTAAATTTTCATGCATTGAATTGGCTTTTTTTGTTAGACGTGAGTTTATCAACTTTTTAAAAATCTTTACTGCCCACGTCTCCTTTCCATTCCTCAGTTGCTTTAATTTTTTTTAAATTTCTGGCTAAAGTGACTCTATGGTGTGAATTGGGGTGTGTGTGTGTGTTTAACTTGCTGGAGTGCCTTAAATTCCTTGAGTCTGTGGGTATGTATCAAAATGAGAATTTGTCATGCCCCCCCCCCCACTGGTGTAAGCTGGACATTTAATACTGTCTGACTAAATTTGTGGGTCACCTTTGCCTGGTCACTTGAGTGTCTAATAGTTTTATGCTTTGTTGAACATTGGAATACTACTTTATTAGATGTCTGGAATTTGTTTTTCCTTTAGAGAGTAGTGAGAGTTTTCTTTCTGTCAGTCAGGCGAGTCAGTTTGGTTCTTTGGAGGCTTATTCTCCTGCTGTATTAGGTCGGAGTAGAGTAGTCTTTGGGGGCTGCGTTAGTCCTACATCTCAGCAGGCTCCAGTGTGTTCCACAGGATCTCTTCGCTTTGCCTTGTCAAGTCAGGACATTTCCCAGCACTCTGTGAGCTTGGGGGCTGAGCTGTCAGCTTCCTTCCCTTTCCCTTTCCTTGCCTCTTTCTTTCTCTTCTGGGGCTTGAATGCAGGCACCTGACACTGACCTATACCCTCAGCCTCCTTGTTGGGTCTTACCTGCCCTTGTGGGTCTTCCTTATACACACACAGTTTAATATTCGGCCACAAACTGGAAGGAGGCCTCTGTACAGATCTCTGGAGCTTTTTCTACCTCTAGCTCCATTGTCTCCGTAGTCTCCCTAAACTTGGATCCGTCTCCTTAACTCCAGTACCCTAAACTTGGTTTCTCCCTTACTGTGCCGCAGTCCAAAGAGGCCCTTCAGACAGAAAACCAGAGAGACTACAGAGCTCACCTTATTTTTCCCCATATTCTCAGGGGTGACTTGTGTAGTGTCTGTTGCTGAACAGACATTTCATGTATTTTATCTAGTTTTCTACTTTCCTGTGGTAATTTCATGTATTTTGGGCAGCATCATAATTGTTTATAGCACTAGCTGCAGTGCCAGTTGCAGTAACATGACTAGAAGCTGAAGTTACATTTATTTTTGGGATAAATTGTCCCAGAGGCTTTTAGTTTCACATGCTGGAGCTTGGGCCTGAGTGTGTGTTTTAGCACATGAATGTACGAAAGTCTGTCATGAAATTCCTTGTTCTGAATTGTACATTTTGCACGTGAATTTCCGAATCTTATCTTCAGTTTTGTTAGTATTAAGGCAAAAAAGCTGAAAGCCATGGAATTTCTTACTTCAGCCATCACATGTTAGCTAGGAGACTCTGTTCCTTCTCTGGAGAACATTATTCCAATACGTTAATCCTTAAAGTTCAGATGTATGTGACACTTGCCATGAGTTTGTTGGAAGATAAGATTTTTTTCAGCTTGATTGTATCAGTCCTGTGTTTCGTCAGGTACAGTGTCATCCTAATATGGGTTGACATTTCTTTGGCTCCTGTTAACCAGTCTTCCTCTTGCAGGTAGTGCAGCATGACCCGTGTCGGGGTGGAGCAGGGTACTGGAACAGCCTCTTCCGTTTCAAGCACCTGGCCACGGGCCACTACTTAGCAGCAGAGGTAAGTAGCAGCCCTGCGGTGTTCTTAAGGCTGACACCTTCCTCATCTGTAGCCACTCGGGAGGTGGAGGCTCAGACAAATGCTCCATCACTTTGCTTTCCCTTCTGCTTTTTTGTTTTCTTCTGTCTCATTTCCCTAAAGAGACAAAAATGGCTAGCACATTTTAGGACTGGGGTTTTGGTCAGGATGTGGGGAGAGAGTAGGTTGACGATACTCACGTAGGATTTCAGGCTGCTCTGTTTTGCTCTTGCGTGCCGTTCTCCTCACATCCTGTCCACCAACCCCACTCCTAACACGAGTGACCGAGGATTGGCTGTAGTGGATCCCTGGTACGTAAAGTCAGACTTGTTCTGACTTTAAAATGCGTAAAGAAGTAGACAGTTTCATAAAGAAGTCTTGATTCCTGCACGCCTCAGTGAAATAGACAGGGGTTTATCTTTTACTTGTAAGGCTGCCAGAAATCAAAGAAATTTCCTTTACCTAAAATGTCTAAGAAGGGCTTTTGAGGAAAGGAAAGATCCGGTGCTGAAGGACCCGAGAAGTTTACCTTCTAATTTTTGTATTAAATTAAGGAGCTACCCTACTGTGTGACAGATGTTGAATGTTACTTTGATCTGCTGGAAGATGTGTGATGCGCATGCAGATCAGATTCTCATCAAAGGACCGCTCCTGATGTCTGGAACCACCAGTGAGGCTGCTCCGGGGCTCCCAGGGGTTGTGTGGGTGCCAGCACTGCTCCTGCCACTGACTTGAGGAAGATGAATCTAAGTGTGCACCCCCTTTGAGGTTCTGGATACTTACAGAGCTATGAGTTTGAAATAGTTAACAACCAAATATTAAGAAGTCTTAAGTTAAAATTGAAAATGGAGCCCAAGGGAGTTAGACCCAGTGAGTCAGCTGGGTGAAACCTTGATTCCGTGGTTTGCTAAAGACGAATGGTGCTTGCATTATCTCTCATGTTTTGAGGCACATGTAGCTCTTGCTAAAGATTTAATGTTTGTATTTTATTTTAACTAGACGTGATCAGTATTATCCATGAGTGTGTATTGGTCTTTTATTTATCTGAGGTTTTTCACTTTTGCTTTGCTGGTGAATTCATTGTGTTTTCCTTGTCTATTCTTGAGAGCTGTCTCTTGGTGACTGGTGGATTGTCTCCTGTATGTTGCATCTGTGTGATGTGTGTTATTGTGGCATGCTGGTTTCGTGAACAGAGGGAAGGGACACGTTCTTAGATGTCCAAGGATAGCTGCAGGCATGGAAGTCTCCTGCAGATGGGTCCCGGTCCTTAAGAAAGCAATGGATGTTTTAATTTCCTAATGATTCTTTTTCATCAGGTAGACCCTGACTTTGAGGAAGAATGCCTGGAGTTTCAGCCCTCAGTAAGTATGGGCAAGAGCCTTCTTGTCTTTGTTTGCCAGGGTAAGGCCAAATGGTCTGGAGCCCCACTTAAGAAACTATCACTGTGGCCATTGAGTGCTGGGGAAGGGGAAACTGTAGGTTGCTTTCAAAGAAGGTCTTGTCCTCTTATGACCGGCTTGGTCCAAGGGACTGTTGGTCTGATGATGTGTCACTGTGTCAGTCACGAGTCTCTGCCTTTGAGTTTAAGAAGTACATGGACCTTTTAGAGTCTTTCTAGGCTGGAGAAAGTGCTGGTGCATGTGGAAGTTGGCCTTTTAAAAGCAGTTGCACAGTTGTCTTACTGATGTTGACCTGAAGCAGTGACTCATTTCATTTTTCTGTGGAAGTAGCATGAGTCCTGTTGTACCTACTGTCTGAGACAGCCAACTGTCTAAGCCTCTGTTCTCAGGTAAAGTCAGAGACAGGCTTTGGGGTATAACGTGATTTGGAATTGTCATGCACGATGGATTTGTCTTTGGAGACTCTAATGTCAAATCCTGCTAATACGTAGACACTTGGAGTTTAGGTGTCTACAGTGTGGGTTGACGAAGGCAGTGGTAATGTTTCATAGAAATCAGTAAACAGTTCTCTTGTGGAGTGCTTGATTCTGAGCTAGGATTCAAAAACCAACCAACCCACCAACTGAACGAACAGTTGCTGCCCTGACTGGCATGTGTGTCCACGTGGTGATCTCAGGGGTATTTCTTTTCCTGGCAAAATTCAGAAAAATTGGTGGCACTTTGCATGTTAATGGAGTTGAGGTGGAGATATTAAAAATGGAATTGTGGAAAATGTTGTGCATTCTGCATTAGTAGTTAACTTAGTTTATAGAATGCTGGCTTTGAAAGAAACTCAGAGGAGTGTAGCGGTGAGTCTGTGGGTTGCTGGGGGTTTCTCCCTTCATTGCTTCCTGATGGAGCCCCCAAAGTTCCCTTCCTTCTTTACGTGCTGTCACCCTCAGCTGGGAGGCCCCTGGAAAGCTTACCCTCCACTGTTAATCTGGCATAGAAAGCACTGGCCCAGCTTTCTGCCTGTGTGAAAGGAAATCCACTGTGAGCCCGCTCTGCGTAGCAAGCACCCCTGTGTGTTCACCTGGGATACTGTGCCTGTGGAGGGCCTTTTATTTCTTGTCCTTGCACATTTCTTGACTCCCTTTGTGTGACTTGGATACAGAGGCCTCCCTCCACATTGTCTAGAGTAACAGAACGTGTCTGCTGTTAGGGAAGCCACAGCTTCTTTCAGTGAGAGCTGATGTCCAGGTGAACCTTGGGTGCTAGGGGACACAGGCCATTCTCCTGGACTTCCTGTATGAGTGAACCCTGGTATTTGCAGGGTAGGAGGATGATAGTGATCACAAGCAAGGAGGAGGAGAGCAGGACAGTCCTGGTATAAACACCGGACTCATCACTTCTAAGCTGTATGAACCTGAAGAAGTCACTTACCCTCTCTGAGCCTCAATTTCCCCTCATGTACATGTGACACTTTTAGACTTGTACACATCAGTAGCATTTTTAGTGCCTTTATATCCACTAGTTCATCTGGGCCACACAGCTCCTACATGGAATGAGTTAGGACAGTTTTCAAGATCTTCACTGACTGAGGAGGAAGCAGCCATTGTGAGTGGTCCTGGCTCTTCACTGTACTGAGGTCTCTGGGAGTTCAGTGTTTTTTCTCCATCTCATGCTTCTCCATGCCAGGGAGGCAGGATGTGCCAGCAGGCTGGGGTGCAGCTCTAGATAGTGTTGGTGGGGCTGCTAGACAGTTCCCTTGGTCTGTGAACCAGTTGCAGGAGAGCAGTGTATGTAGACGAGTCTCACCTCTCACCAGTGGGCTGACTGCACAGCTTTGGCTTCTGTGAGCAAAGTGTTAGCATCGGGAGGGTCATGCATACTTCACCCTCTCTACCTGGCACTTTGGATGGAAAAACTAACATTGTATAAATTTGAGTGTGGAAGCATCTCTTTTGCCCTGCTCACAGTTCCCTGAGACTGGTAGTCAGTGCTTGTGGGTTTTGCCTCATACTTCTCTCAGCTTTGTGACATTTATTGTGAATTCAGTGGCACCCTCAGTTCATTTGCTTGATCTCAGAAAGAGAACAGTGACATCCCGAGGCTTGCTCTCCTCTGCTGGCCTTTTGCACATGTGCCTTTCTTCCCACTAGGTGGCAAACGACGACTGCACACTGAAATGTGAGAGCTCTTTCTCAGGTTTCCAGACACAGTGGCTTAATGCAATTGCAGTTTTCCTCTAGAACTGCCAGGCTCTCTGAAATGTCTCCACCAGCCTGTAGCTGAGCCAGGTGTCTCCAGTCATGATCTGGTCAGACTTTATTTTCGAAGTGGTGTGAGGAGCACTTTGCAGGTAACAGTAGTTAGGAAAGGGTAGATGTTCTAAGTTCTTTCTCGTTAATTGAAGGGGTGCAGGGGTCTTCTGTTCCATCTGGCTAACTTACTTAAAGGATAGAGAGGAAAAAGGATTGAGGGCTTATTTAGGTAGAGGTACAGTTAATTAGAGGAGAAAGTTTGGGTGTGAGGGACAGAGACTTTAGATACCAAAGAACTTTTTCACTTAAGAAAATTTTTTTTGGAGATAGTTTCACTGTGATGCCCAGTCTGATCTTGCCCTCCTGAGGTCAAGTGATGCTCCTGCTGCATCGTCCTGAGTAGCTGGGCTGACAGGTGTGCACTACCATGCCTAGCGGAAAGAACTGTTCTTGTTTTTTAAATAGAAGTAGAAGCTACTGATGAACTGATGAAGCTTGTGCTTCTAGATCTCAGGTCCCATGAAGTTAAATTCTCTCATGTTTGCTCCTTTGCCTTTGATTGGGCATCTTTTTCTTGATTCTTTTGTCTTCCTGGGGTAGTCTGCCACCTGCTTGGAGAGGAGACAGAGCTTCAGCCTGAAAAAACTAGGTAAGGCCAAGGAGAGTGGGGTCCTCCTGGTAGATGCAGGTGGATGTTGCCATCTTGTAGGCTTGTTAAACCTTAGAAATGAGCCCATGTGCAGTCACCATGCTGAGAGAGAGAGAGAGAGGGAGAGAAAGAAAGAAAGAAAGAAAGAAAGAAAGAAAGAAAGAAAGAAAGAAAGAGAAAGAAAGAAAGAAAGGGATACTATAAAGCCTATGCCCCCAGGCTAATGTTGCTCTTTAAATCCCTTTAGGCATGTGGGCTTTGGAGCTGAGACACTTAACACTTTCTAGGGGAAGCTTTTGGCACTGTTCATCAGCCTTCTCTGTAAGAGATTTTCTTCTGTCTTATCCAAATCCTCATGTAGCAAGAGAAGCCTTTCCCCTGTGTTGTCATTAGTAGCCCTCTTAATTAATTACGCTTGTTTTTTTCAGAGCTAGGCTGACTTCTTGGTTATGTATGTGTATCCATTGGCCATACTGGGATTGCTGCTTATGAGCATTTGGATACAGGTTTATTGTATTTTATTTGTTTTCCTGGGAAGTAGCTGTACGATATTGTTGATAGACAACTGTCACTGTAGACTAATACAACTATATATAACCAATTCCACAGGATGTTTCCTCAGTCTCCGTCCCTCTCCCCCAGCTACTGCAGATGGATGTAGCACTGTGAAGGCCTTGATCACTGCTAGCACTCTTTCCGTGGACATCTCTTATTGCTGACATTGCTGCAACATTTTTATTGCAACATAAGGAAGTAGAGAGCAAATATTTTTGGCTCAGGGGCTGATGATCACCTTTTAATGCTGTTCTGCAATCGGTCATTGCCTGCCAACTGCTGACATCCACTATTGTTCTTCCTTGGTTCCTGAGGATTGTGCAATGATTGTGGTGAGCGACGGGCCTGGCGTATAGAATTCCTGACTTGATCACTTTTCACCCTCAGGTGGACCCTGATCAGGATGCATCTCGAAGCCGCTTGCGTGGAAATGCCCAAGAAAAGATGGTGTACTCCCTGGTCTCTGTGCCTGAGGGCAATGACATCTCCTCCATTTTTGAGCTAGACCCCACCACTCTCCGTGGAGGTGACAGCCTTGTCCCAAGGTATCCTTTCAAAGCTGTTTATCACAGGGCATCAGGGCAGGTCTTTTTGGTCTGGTCCTGTTTCTTGGAATTCAAATCATTATTGCCTTTTTTCTCCGAGCTTTTATAAAGGATTTAATAAAGTGTTTGGACTTACTGTTCAATATGGTATCTGATTTTTGTATGTTTTATCAGTGGTGAGTACTTGATAGTTTGATAAAAAGTGCTACACTGGATTTAGGTACACATAACTGCTCAGTATTTCTCTATATTTACTCTCTTTTTTTCTACAAACCCAGAAGAACCTGGGTAATCCCTTGGTCAATTAAATAAACAATTGAAAAAAATGGAAAATGAAATAACTGAAATTCACTGTGTGCACAGTAAATTTTATTGAAGGTATTGAGATGTTGAGAAGTTAGATCCATATTCTGTGGTCATGTTACTTTATTTAACTCTCGGTTTTGTTGTGTAAGAATGTATTTTTCAAGAACTAATCAGAACAGAAACTTACTCTTAGGAAAGTCAACATTATTAGTAATGGCTAATATTTACTGAGTGCTAAATACATAACAGGCATAATGCTAAACATTTAACTTGCATTATGTAATTTTATCATCGCAGGAAATCCTGTGAGATAATTATTGACCCTTTATAGGTAAACACATTGAGACTCAGAGAGTTTAAGCAACTTATCACCGGTCTGATATCCCTGTGGTAGAACCCAAAACCATAAGTTCCTAAGACAGATAGGGGTGTTTGGGCAATCCTAACTCTTCCACCACAGAGTGTGTTGGCTGGCAGAAGTGGTGTTTGGAGATTTAGGTACACACTGGTGTTTGGAGATTGCGTACGAGGCCCTTCTCACTGGCGTTACTGTGTGTTTCATTATTTGTATACACATTGCCGCTCTCCTGGTCGGCCTGAGTGGGGCTGTGATAATCGCCGCTTGGGTGCGCTTGGAATTTGAGTAGAACCTTATCTTGTGCTGGGTGTTGTTTCCGTCCCTCTCAGTGTTCAGGGTAAGGTGCTGCCCACAAGGGGGAGGTGGTGCCGTTACAAGGCAAGAAGGCCTTTCAGTCAGAGGATCAGGAATTCTTAAGTTCTGCTTGGTAGCTAACTGCCTGAGAATCTGAGGAAAGAGAGAGACGTTTTCCCAGAAAATCCCACATGTACACAGCTTCGTCTTCTCCAGGTCTGGAACCCTTTGTTTCAGTGCCTAAAGAAAACAAATTCTTACTGAGCTATAATTCATATTCCCTAGGACTTATTATATGTAAAGCATTCAGTTTGGGGGGTTTTAATAGATTAGCAAAGTTGGGCAAACTCTCACCACAATGAGTTTTAGAAGATTTTAATCAGTACAAGGGGAAACACCATACCCATTAGCGGTCACTCTCATTTTCCCACACCCTGCTGCCAGCCCCAGACTGATGTACTTTCTGTCTCTATGTGTTGGCCTGTTCTGGACATTTTCTATAAATGGAATCACATATTATGTGAGCTTTCATGACTGGTTTCTTTGATTTAGCGTTGTTTTAAAAATTCTCCCATGTTGTAGCATATATTATTACTTTATTCTTACACAATATTCCATTGTATGGGTAATACTTCCTTTTATGGATAATATATCCATTTATTAGTGGATGACAATTTGAGTCTATTATGAGTAACGCTACCAAGAAAAGGTGGTGTACTCCCTGGTCTCTGTGCCTGAGGGCAATGACCTCTCCTCCATTTTCGAGCTCGACCCCACCACTCTCCGTGGAGGTGACAGCCTTGTTCCAAGGTATCCTTTCAAAATTGTTTATCACAGGGCATCAGGGCAGGTCTTTTTGGTCTTTGGTTTAGCATTTCTACCTAGGAGTGGAATTGTTGGGTCACATGATAATTCTGTGTTTAACCTTTTGAGGAACTACTGGCTTGCTTCTCAAAGTAGAGGCCCCATTTTAGACTCCTGCCAGCAGCATATAAGGGTTCTAGTTTTTCTGTTTTTCTCCAGCGGTTGTCTTTTTTTATTTGAGGTATCCTAGTTAATGTGAAGCGACAGCTGATTGTGGATTTATATGTATAACACATTTGCTTTATCCATTCATCTGCTTTAAATTTCTTACTTAAATTGCCCGATCCAAGCTCATAAACATCTATGGTAATATTTTCTTCTAAGAATTTTACAATTTTCCTTCTTCACACTTAAGTCTTTGATTCATTTTGAGCTCTTTCAAAATGGTTTGAGGTCGGGTATATTGCTTTTTAATAGATTTTTTTCCCTTGACCGCCCTCTTATTACCTAGGTAGGTATGGGTCTGTGTAAGGACCCTAACTGTATTTCCATTTAAGTGACTTTCCATTTGTTTTTCCTCAGTTCTGAAAGTTACTTAGTTTTTCTTTTGAAACAAGGGAATGACACTTGGATATGTTAAGTGTTCAAATTTGGTAGAGTAGAAAAGAACAGAAGCATGTGCTTTAAAATACTGTCACTGTTTCATCAGAGCCTCCTTCATGAACCTTTTCCTTTGAAAATGAAGGAATGAGGAGCTGAATGGCTCTGTTGCTCAGTGGATTGGAAATCCCTCTGCTCCTGTGGGAAGGGAAGGTTGAAGTTTTTGAGGCAGCTGGCTAAGTGGCACTGGCCGGTTTTTGTGCCTTACTTTTGTTATTCTCTCCATCCATTACTATTTCCTTGTTGGCAAACTTTTCTTGTGACCAGGTGTCCCGAGTTAGACCGATTCTAAATTCAGAAAGAAGCAAGGGAAGCCTTATGTTCGGCTGGTGGAAGAAGGGTCTGGTATGGTCTATCAGTGTGTTTACTTAGGGTCTCGGGTATATCTTCATTCATTCTTGCTCTTGGCCACCAAACTCAGCCTGAAGAGAACAGGGCCAGTGATACACTGATCATGTGAAATGACAAAAGACTGGAAGAGTAATATATTAATTTCTCTGCATCTTACAGTTGTACTCAATTTTGCTTGCTTAAAATTAGAAAGTATATGGTTAGATACATAAACATCTGTGAAATATTATGAGCAAAGGCATTTTTTGTGTTAATTCCTGGCTTAAAAGATTCCTTTGCACCAAAGTAAAATGGATAATGGCCAACCCTGGATATACTACAGAAGATAATAAAATCACGGTATGCATAGGAGAGATGCATTAAATGAACACTGGGAGAACATCCAGCCCATTGGCTCTTTTCTGCATGTCTTTTTTTTTCTCTGCTTTTTGAGACAGGGCCTCATTCTTAATTCAGCCTAGTCTTAAACTCCCTTTGTAGCCAGGCTAGCCTCACAGCGATCCTCCTGCCTCAGCCTCCTGAGTTCTGGGTTCACAGGTGTGTGCCACCATGCCCAGCTTGTGCTTGTCTTGATATAGTGGCATTTGAGTTGTGGGTTGGAAATGCAACTTCAAAGGAATTTATAGAATTCCATTTGTGTTTTAAATGAAATTTGACATAGATATTATAGAATTAATCATCCAACCAAAAGCTAAGCTCTGGGTTTTGATTATGCTTTGTAAATATGGGAAGTGAATCCAAGTCATCAATCGAAATACAAATCTCTTTGTTATATGTCTTGTTCATGTTGTTTAATTTATATTTATTCTTGTCAAAGTGTGTATCACTAGAGTTGCTGTCATTGGGCCTTGACTATAATGTCCATTTCCTCTCTCTGCTCTTGTCTTGCCAAAGGTGAGAGGCCCAGCTCTAGTCAAAAACTTCCCTGACTCTGCGTCCTCTGTGACTGTCTCCTAACTTCATGCTTCTTGTCTGTCTGCTGTTACGACTGATTACTTGCTGTGTATTCATCTTGTCTCACTAATGGGACAGTAGGTTCTTTAACTGCAAGACTTATGTCATTATTTCTTCTGCTTTGTTAGGAAAAAAAGCAAAATTGAAAACATTGTAAATATGAGGCATGCTCACTGTAGAAATGAACAACAAAAGCAAAAATGCCTAAAATCATCTAGAGAATAAACCAGTAAATAAAAATTAAAAACAATTCAGCCATTCACCGTGCACTGCTTTCAAGATTTTGGTTTGCTAGTTTCACGTGGGTCTCTGGACACACAGCGATGATTGTCTAATTTATCATAAATAGGGCCATAAACTGTTTTACCTTTTTGACCAAAAATATGTTCTGCCCATGTTTCCAAGCAAATGAGTGTCCCTTGTTAGCGTTTTAAGTAATGATACAGTATTCTGTTGTGTGTACTACAGTTAACTCCTCCTTTACTGAAACATTGAACTGTTTCTAGTTTTTCACCATTGTAAGCATTGCTTTGTTGAACATCTTTGTGCCACGTTTTGCTCCCATGCTATCATCTCGTAATGAAAATATCTAACACTGGAGCTGCCAGATGAAAGGAGAGATACATATTACACGATATAAAGTGCCTGACTCCTCTGCAGAGTCTTAGCTGATTGCCCTCTCTTCCAAATCACGGGCAGTGTGCAGGGCCTGGAGTGTAGCCCCGCGGTGGAGCTCCTGCGTAGCATTCACCAGGCCAACAACCAACGTGAAATAAAACAAGCAAAATCAGTGCACGGGATCACTCATTTCCCTGACCTCTTGTTGATACTGGGTTTTGTTAGTCTTACAACATTTGATGGAATAAAATGGCATTTTGCTTTAAACAATGTAAATGTTACGCTAAGAAGATTGAATGCATGACTTATGTGCATGTTGGCCATTTATATTTCCTTATTAAATTACTAGTCTTTGTTCTTTACCATTTTCATTTCTATTATTCATGCTTTTCGTGTTGATTTGCCAGCACTCATGTGTATGGGTTATTAACCTTCTTATGCCATGTGTTTCTTTTGTTTTCCCAGGCTGTTGTTTTTCTTTCAACTTTATGATAAACATTTATATATACAGAGATACCATACTTGCTCTACAGAAGATTTAAAATCTTAACTATATAATAAAGTTTATCCTTCTTTTACTTTAAAATTTAGTAATCTTGCTGAGCACTCAGGAGGCTGAGGCAGGAGAACTGCCAAGAGTTTGAGGCTGGCCTGGGCTACTTAGTGAGTTCAAGGCCAGCCTAAACTACGTAGGGAGACTCTGTTTCAAAAAAATATTTAGTGACCTTACACTTTATTACATGTTTTAAAAAACTTTTTCTACCATAAGATGAATGGTAGGAATTTGTATTCCATTTTTTGCTTTATTGACTCATATGAAAATTTTAGCTCTTATTTTATTGCCTCAGTAAGTACTTTTTGTTGCCATGCTTAGCTTGTGCTTTGATATTTATTCATAATATGCTTTGGTATTTAGAAATAGCAGCATATCACAATAAACTGAGAGTCATTATGAATTATTTTCTATTGTAAATAAATGAGAACATGACTTGGACCAGAACCATTTACTCCTAATTATATATTGCCCGGTGTATGGAGCAGAGAACCATTCTGGTATTTCTATTTTCATGGAATATCTTCTAGACCAGCTGCAGAGTAAAGCGGAATAATTCTTCTTCTAAAGTCCTTCTTTTTCCCTTCAGGAACTCCTATGTACGACTCAGACACCTGTGCACTAATACATGGGTTCACAGCACAAATATCCCCATTGACAAGGAAGAAGAAAAACCTGTGATGCTTAAAGTAAGTCCCTAAGCTTAGCTGCCTCCCCTCAGTCACATGCTACCTAATGCAGCGGCTCCTTTGAGGATATATGGGGAAAATAGAACAATGAAGTCCCTCCTTTCCTCTCTGCTTCCCGCCAACTTTCTCTCTGTCTCTGTCTCTCTCTTTCCCTCTGACTTTGGCAAGCTTGAATGCTTGAATGGGATGAAACAGTTTTCTTCAAAGGATGTGGTGAAGCAAACATAGGCTTTTGAAATAACCGTGGCTACTACTCTAGTGCTTGAGCACTTCCTTGGTTTTGCATCTGAAGGATGATTTTGGCTAGGGAAATATTTGCTTGTGCCTTGAGGTTCATCAAATATCTATTTGATTTTCCCTAATCCTTTTTGTTTCTCTGTGTATTAGAGCATGCTTCCAGCAAGCCCCCTAGCCCCTTTTTACCTCTCTCCCCTTCTTCTCTAGAATCATAAACACAGAGGTGAGATTTTCCTTTGGAAGTGAAGATTATGCTTACCATCTTTTTTGTGGTGATAGAACAGATTACTGGATTTTTCTTCTACTTTATTTTCAGGCATATAGCAAAGTTGAAGAAATGAGAAACTGTCTATATAATACTCTCTGATTATAATCAATAATTACCATTCATTATATTTACTTTTTCTCTATTACTAAACATATTCTTTGATTATAAGAATCTTATATGTTTCATCAGACAAATTAAACTATAAAATGATAGTAGTGTCCCTTTTCCTAACGCACCAGTCCCTGTAATACCAATTTCCACAGGTAACAGTGGTTGTTGTGTTTGGAGTACATACTTCCACAGACTTTGATTTTAACTCTTAAGTTTTTTGGATTTCCCAATAGCCTATAAATGGAGTATTCAATTAATGTCTTACTCTCCCAATCCGAGATTACCCTACAAAGACCGCCTTGAATTTCAGATTGGCACCTCTCCTGTGAAGGAGGATAAGGAAGCCTTTGCCATAGTTCCTGTTTCTCCTGCTGAAGTTCGGGACCTAGACTTCGCCAATGATGCCAGCAAGGTGCTAGGCTCCATCGCTGGGAAGCTGGAGAAGGGTACCATCACCCAGAACGAGAGAAGGTGAGGCTTTTGTATGTGCAGGACCAGGGGGCCTCTTCTGCTGTGCATTTGGGTAGTGAGCGAATGGTGACTCTGAACAGTTGAGAGAGTAGTTGTCTTGGGTACTTTTCTCTCATTGCTGAGACAAAATACCCACGACCCAGAATTAAGGAAAGAAAGATTTATTTAGCTCACAATTTATGGAGATATCAGTCCATAGTCCGCTGGCTCCAAGGCAGGGTGGTATGGCACAGGCAGCAGAAGACAGCAAAAGCAGCAAGAGCAAAAAAAGTAGGGGAGCCTCTTTTCTTCTCTTATTTTGCATGCCAGCTATCCACCCACACCAACTCCATGCCCTTTTCTTGCACAGGCTCAGGATGTTTACAAAACAAGGACCCTGGCCCCCTGCTGAGTCACTTAGTTAACCTTCTAAACTTCTCAGATTGACACCAGGTATCAACCATAGCAGTAGTAGTCTGAGCGTCTGTAGGAGGCTTTCTGTTTTGTTTTCCAGAAATAGATTGTGTGTGTGTGTGTGTGTGTGTGTGTGTGTGTGTGGTAGGGAGTGAACCCAGGGTCTTTACACTGAGCTACATCTACAGCTCTTTTTAAATATTTTTATTTTGAGACAGGGTCTTGATAAGCTGCCAAATTGCCCAGATTGGGCTTGAATTTGTGGTCCTCCTGCCTTAGCCTTCCAGAATGTTGGGGTTATAGGCATGCACCACCATGCATGGGTAGAAATAGATAAATTTGCGTTCACTTTTTTGAGAGTCTCTAACGTTGTAAAGGTATCCCTTGACCTGCTAACTTGGTCCTGCAATTATTTTACTAGGTATCAGGGGTTTAGAATTCCCCTTGGTGGAATTTAATGTCTGTGGTCTGTGTTTCACTCTTTTTGGTAATTGACCTTGGCTGTGGATTTTAACGCTATTGGGAAAAATAGGTCTTCTCCTGTTTGACTGGTCCACAGGGCCTGCAGGCTTTTGAGGCGAAGCTCCCAGCCTGTTGTATATTAAGCACTGTGTCTCTAAAAGCCTCTTCCCTTCTAAGGTCGGTTACCAAGCTGCTGGAAGACTTAGTTTACTTTGTCACCGGTGGTACTAACTCTGGCCAAGACGTGCTTGAAGTGGTGTTTTCCAAGCCCAACAGAGAACGGCAGAAGCTGATGAGAGAACAGAACATTCTCAAGCAGGTCAGTGAGATGTGATGTGTTTGGTGGCTGGCTTTACAAAAAATTTGTGGGATCTCTTACCTAATAGAGGAACGTGGCTGATTCCCATTGGAAGATTTGACAATTGAGTTTTTTTTTAATGGAACTTATTTTCATATCAGTTCTAAATTCATAACAAAATTAAGAGGCAAGTTACAGAGAGTTCTTCTGTGACCTCTGCTCCCTCACTGTCAGCATCCTGCACCAGTGTGGAACATTTGTTAAAATCTGTGACCCTATGTTGATACACCATTGTCACCCAAAGAAACATATTAATTACATATCTCATAGATCTCCCTGGGAACCGGCATCTGGGACGGTTTTCGCCTATTAGATTGTGATAGGCAAAATGCATGTTTCAACAAGGATTTGAAGTCTAGAAGTAGGTCCTATCCAGCTGTTTCATATGTTGAGTCCCAGTTAGACCTCTGGCTTAATGCCCATTCTCATTTCTACAATAACAATTCAAAATGATGTGATTCCATAGCAGGAACACTGGCCAGTCACTTACGTAGGGTACTGTATTTATGGGACTTATCTTCATTCATTTTTACAGCACCCTTGTGAGAAAAGTGTTGTTCCCTGCATTTCTCTAGTGAGAAAATAGCTTGCTTTGACCATGATTTGTAGAGCGAGGCAGTGTTAACCAAGATCAAGCTGACCTAGTTGAGTATCAGAATTCCATTTATTTTAACCTTATTAGGCTTGACAATCCAGGACAAAATCAAGCAGCCTAGAAAATATGCTCTGAGATTTTACAAGATGGTGGATGTTTCCATAGCATTACACTGTGAGAGAGGTCTTTAGTGACATTTTATTTGTCAAGAATTATTGTTGGTGCAGCAGATGTCAGTGTCTTGTACCAAAGGGATTGGATATGATCTTAGGAAGCAAGGAGAATGGCTTCAAAAACTGTTACAAAGGCCAGAAAACTTTCCTCTGGAAGTTGTAGGTCTGCCCAGTTCACAGTGTTAGCATGTACCTGGGGGGAACTGTGCAGATGGCTCAGCTGGAAAGCTCTACTTTCTGTTCCTGAAACCTGGCTTCATCAGGCCTTCCTACTCTTTTTGAGGGCTTAGAACCAATGCTGCTTTGCTTCCATCTCCATCCCTGAAAGAATAAAGGAATGCAACCTAGAACCTGCTTATTCCAATTGTGTTCTTTACTTCTTTGCTGTAAACTCTTCCCTCTCAAGTCTCTGAGGATGAGTTAGGTCCAGGTGGACGAGTCAGTGAGTGCCCAGTCTCAGTAGATGGGCTGAGTGCAAGTTGCAGGCTGTTATGTGCTTGGATGGGGAAATTTTGCTGTGTAATCTAGTTCCCCCTAAGGTCGTATTCCTTTAAAAACACCAAATGATGGCAGTCTTCACTATTTTCACAAACAGATCTTCAAGTTACTACAGGCCCCATTCACAGACTGTGGCGACGGCCCAATGCTCCGTTTGGAGGAGCTGGGGGACCAGCGGCATGCTCCTTTCAGACATATCTGTCGGCTCTGCTACCGAGTCCTGAGGCACTCGCAGCAAGACTACCGGAAGAACCAGGTAGGGAGGAAGAATGGATGGGAGTGGATTGTTGGTTTCCTCCCGGAGTTCATTCCTGTGCTTTGCTCGGTAATTATGCTGCACATGTATTTGTTTAGTGGATAGAGACTAGTTTAGTGTTAAATTTGTCTTAATTTTCATTCTCTGGTCTTTAAACTTTCCTGTGTAGTTAAAGGTTTTTATTGTGTTGCCAGGAAGACAGTGTGACTCGTAAGTAAAACTTTAGATGTATGATCGTGTCAGCAGCCTGTGGTTGCTTTAGATCAATGACGGTGAACCTCTTAGAGACTTGAATGCCCAAACTGCAACCCAAACCCACTTATTTATCACAGAGTGCCAACACTGCAATTACATCTGAGGGGTGAGGTTTCAGTTTAGAAAAGAGAAATGTTATACAACTGTTATGCCGTGCTTGGCTGCGGGGATGACTTGGTTTGCGTGCTACAGAGAGGGTTCCATGTGCCTCTGTGGCACGGATTCCCCGCCGCTGCTTTAGATCCTCCTCTGGTGCACTAGTGCCCTTCCTGGCTAGCGCCAGAGAGGAGATTTGCTCCTGTCTGCATTCATTGGATGAGGATATGTCAGGGCCTCTAGTGGGTGCCAGAACATAACGTCATACATGAGGAAGCTAAGCCTGTCCCTTTTACTACTGTTGGACTGAACGTGTTAGTTGTTGATGGATTCTGTGCTAGTTGGCAGAGGAGTATCCCCTGCAGGCTGATGAATTCCCAAACATGCCTCCTTACTAAGTATCAGCTGAAAAGTGGCCCATGTCCCTCATATTAATCCTGAATCATTCCCAGGGTTTTGGAATTAATGAAGAGAAGTTAAAGCCGGTTTTAAGGACCATTTGAACTTTGAACAAGCAAACAGTCTTTCCAGGGCAGGGAAATACATTTGACTAGAAACAAACAACTGTTCATGAGAGGCTTCCTAGAGTTCACAGATTTTTTCTGTAAACTGTGATATCTGATCCCAAAAGAGGGAAGACGAAGAGTCCTAGATCCTGTGAATACGCTTGCTTGGATTAGGCATTCCTGACATTTTTCTACTGCCCATTGACTTTAGAAAAGGAACTTCTACCCCAGGAAAGAAAACAAAATGGGGTAACATTGTTCCAAACGTCTAGGTAGGCTTCATCTGTGTTTATTCAACTGCACATAGGAGTGTGGTGCAGTGAAGTTCTCTTTAATTAGTAATAAAATCAGGGCTGATGAAAACTTTTGAGCTTTTCAACAATAAGTCATTAGAGTAAAATTTATACTGTACACTTAACATATCTTTGCATAAGGTCAAGATTTGTCCTAGTGACACTGTGTGGCAGGTTTAGTGACATGAAGGTGTGACAGAGTTTGCAGCTGTTGTCCTGGGCTGTAATTTGCCTGCTGAGTGGTAGTTCTTATCAGGAGTGTCGGTACTTTTCTTGTTTTAGTTTTAACCACACTGTCTTTTTTTTTTTTCCTGCTGGTTTTTCCTTTCCCGAAAAGGAGTACATAGCGAAGCAGTTTGGCTTCATGCAGAAGCAAATTGGCTATGATGTGTTGGCTGAAGACACAATCACTGCCCTGCTCCACAATAATCGAAAACTCCTGGAAAAGCACATCACTGCTGCGGAAATCGACACATTTGTCAGTCTGGTGCGAAAGAACAGGGAGCCGAGGTGAGGCGCCTGTCGCATTGACTGGGGAGCACAGGGCCTGTGCACTCAGGATGCAGTGACTTAGCTGGTCCTGGTGCTTCTTACCAGGCTTGCTTTCCTTGCGGTTGCCAGTGGCAGCTTTTCTCTGGGCAGGTCTCAGTGGCTTTTGAATGCATAGTGACAAGAATACAGTATTGGAATGAGACTCCACAGAGAATCCTCACCCTATGTTTATCAACTGATAACCATGGTGTTCTAAGACTGCATTTCCTCATCTGCTAAATAGGTCATTATGAAACTTAGGTAAAAATAAATACCTCAAGTGCCTGGAACGTAGAAGATATCCAGTAAATGACAATCACAGTTGGTCACTTGTTCTTGTTTTAGCACCTCCTGAATATCAATTAGAACACCCTTGCCCCAAACTGAGCATTAGGAATCTTTTGTAGACTTAGTTGTTACTTGAGTGCTTTATTATACATTATTTCTTTGTCTGTACATGTACTGCGTATTCAAACCAGTGCCTCATGCATGTTAGGCAAGTGCTGTAGAGATGAGCTATATCCCCAGCCTGCTTTATTTCATTTTGAGGCAGAGTCTCACTAAGTTCCCCGGGCTGACCTAGCGGTCACAGTCCTGTTTTAGCCTTCTGAGGGGCTTCTACGTGTGTACCACCATGGCTGGCTCGTTAGTAAATTCTACCCACTGTATCTTATTCACACAGGTCTGCCCACCTCCCCTTTGTCCTCTACCTATCTCTGCCGTCTTCTGTTCTGCTTCTGATTGAGACGCACTTTACCTGAAATGAAGCAATTTACAATATGGGCATCATGAGTGATCCCACTGGAGAGTTGACAGGGCTGTTATAAAAATAAATATTGGGCTGGGGATTTAGCTCAGCGGCACAGCGCCTGCCTGGCAAGCGTGAGGTCATGAGTTTGATTACCGGTACCGGAAAACAAACAAACAAAATATATTGCAAGCCATAAAAATGAGCACCATTTTATGGAGTCTGGTCAAATACTAGGTAGTGAGCTAAGGGAGCACTTTGCATGAGTTATCTCATTTAACCCTCAGGACAGTGCTGAGAAGTTGTGCTGTATCTTTTTCTTTCGAAAACTGAGGCACAATGAGGTTAAATAATTTCTCCAAATAACAGTCCATGTCAGAACACAGATAGTTAGCATTTCAGGGTTCCACCCGGCCCAGGCAGCCAGACGTCAGAGCCTGGTTCCAGCCGCACTGGTTGCGCTCTGTCGGCACCATTTCTTCCTGATGTGATCTTCTTTCTTGCCTTCTCTTCTTTCTCAGTTTCACCTTATCACTTTTTCACTGGCCAGAGTCACTGCCATATTTACTCTTCTGCTTTTTTCTTTCATCCTCTCCCTGATGTCTGTATTTCTAACGGTGCTGTGGTCATTGGCCCTGAAGCCTCCATTGTCCCTGACTTGAATGAAAGGAATGTGGGACCTGTCTGCGTTAGGAAGAGTCCTGCTCTATGAGCTGAACCGCTGTTCTCTTCACAGAAAATGTGTTGTTTCTGTTTTGGGTAGGTTCTTAGATTACCTCTCCGACCTCTGTGTCTCCATGAACAAATCCATCCCAGTGACCCAGGAACTGATCTGTAAAGCTGTGTTGAATCCCACCAATGCAGACATCCTCATTGAGACCAAGTGAGTGGGGTCTGGGGAGGTAAAATGAAAGTCAAGAGGGGCGGTTAGAAGAAAAGTAAGTGGTGCAGTAGGTGACTGTCTCAGGAGTAATGAAACACAGCCCCTTCATTTTTTCAGTTTGACTGGCATTTGATGTCCGTTTTACAAGTCCTGCTTCATGGAGGGATTTTGTTTTTTGTGTGGACTTCTGTACAGCATGGTATCTCTTCCTTTACCTACCAGTTTAAAAATCATACAAGCTCACCAGGGAGCATTGGACACATCCTTAGTTTAATTTTAAGAGTTGAAAGTTCTTGAAGTGTGATAATGAATACAAAATGATAAAGATGTAATTGTGATAGTCAGTGTTAATATTAAGTCAATATTGGGAAGAGTTTTGAGTTAGAATATTCAGACAGTATCAGGCCACAGAAGTTGTAGTAATAGTAGTGATTCATTTTTATTAAAAGAGCAGTTTCCTGATAAAGAATAGTGCAATAATATGGGCAGGATTTAAAAGATTATGTCCAAGGTAGTGTTTTTGTTTGTTTCTGATACATAACTTAATTTGGGGCTTCCGTTAATGCAGTGTTTCTCAGCCTTGGCATTTTGACATTTGAGGGTGAATAATTCTTTGTGGCGGGCCATTTCTTTGTGTATGTTGTGGAATATTTAGTAGCATCCCTGGCTTTTGCCTATGAAATGGCCATAACACTCCCTCCTTTCAGTTGTTACACGCAAAACTCTCTCCAGATATTGCCAGATGTCCTCAGGTGAGCAGAATCAGCCTAGTTGAAAACCCATTGGGTTAAAGTATATGAAGAAGTTCATCACTTGGACATTTGTGACTCAGCAAGTGAGAGAAGTAAAAAACTGGCTTTCTGTGTGTCTTCAGGGTGGAAGGGAGGCTAGATTTCAGCGGATTTAAAAATAATGAATTTACCCTCCTATTCTTTCCTAGGTTGGTTCTTTCTCGTTTTGAATTTGAAGGTGTTTCTACCGGAGAGAATGCTCTGGAGGCAGGAGAAGACGAGGAAGAGGTGTGGTTGTTTTGGAGGGACAGCAACAAAGAGATTCGTAGTAAGAGTGTCAGGGAATTGGCACAGGACGCTAAGGAAGGACAAAAGGAAGACCGAGATGTTCTCAGCTACTACAGGTGAGTTGGGAGACCGTCGTAAGGTATCCCACAAGAGTGGCTGTGAGGAATATATTGCTTGTTTGATTACTCAACCAGCCAGGAATCGCAAGAGTTCATCTGATAAGGTTGTCTAGCAAAAAGACAGATGTGTGTCTTCTCAGTTTAGAGTGCAAATTGTCATCAGTGCTTGGTCTGTGGATAGCTGGGTGTGTCTAGATCCTGGGAAGGAGGTGAGCCTGAATCTGCCGCTGGTAACAGTTTATCTTTAAGAAACACAGCACATATATATTGCAGTAGTTAAGAGTCCGGCTTTCGGGTGAGACTGTGAGTTCAAACCCTGACCTCCTAATAGTGTTTTGACTTTGGTAAAGTTTGACTTCATGCTCCAGTTTCTTTATCTGCAAACTAGAGTAATAGTCCCAGTCTTCTAGAACCTTTACAGACAGACCTAGAAAAAAATGCCTCTCTGTGTGCTCATGTATCTGTATTTTTATCTACTTGTATATAATCTGTGCAAATTAATAAAAGCCTTGGCTTTATACTAATACCGGTGGAGTATCCCTAGTACAAAAAACTGAAATTGAAATCTGAAACTTTTTGAGCCTCAGCTTGATGCTCATATAGCTTTAAGTTTTGGAGCATTTAAAATTTTCCCATAAGGGACATTTGATATGGGCAAAGTCTCTGCAAATATTCCAAAATCTGAAAGGCCTCAAAATCTGATACTCTGGTCCCAAGCATTTCTAATGAGGGATACACAGCCTGAATTTCCAATTCTATTCCAACCCCCTAGGGTTTACTGAAACCCTCACTCTTCCCACTTTAACTCCTTATGCTGCCGTTGTTGCCGGGTTGTTCACCTGTGTACTCGTGCCCGTTACATGTCGCCAGAGTCCCCGGTGTGTCCCTGACCCTAGTGCTATGCCTATTAGCCCTGCCACCTGAAGTGATAGGCAGGGAAAGAAAAGAAAAGGAGGGAAATGAGGCAATACATGTTTTTAAAAAGAGAAAGGAAGGGAAGGTAAAGCAACAATTTCAGTTCTTTTTAAGAAAATGAATGAAACTTCTTATTTAAAATGTCTTTTCTTACCTCCTGTATTCTACTCTTTTCCCTTCAGTTCACACATGTGATGTTCATCCTTTCAGTTTCTTTGTGTATTTACATTCTACTGTGTGTGTGTGCACCCGCAAATCACATATAATATTTTTTAGTTCCTAAAATTTTTATATAAATGCTACAAATAATCTGAACCTTACCTTATTCAGTATTGTTTCTCAAATTATAAGTGTGAGTAGAGGTAGACCATTTCCTTACTTTTAACTGTTGAATAGTTTTCTATTTTATTAAAATACCACGTTTTTATCTAGGTTTGACATACCATCATATACCACGATTGAATTCTTCATGTCAGGAAGCATCCTCATTTAAGTTTACCTGTATAGACAGGAGTTCCCTTTCCATGTCAGGAGCTGGACTGGCAGATTTTAAAAGTTACTAAATCATCCCATATTGGATGTTTCAAAGTACAATCTCATCAGTTGTAGATAGTAACTTTTGTTTCCAACTGTCTTTGCTCAATTTGAATATGGTGATGCTTTTTAATTTTTTTAATCTTTTGAATGTAATATAAAATATCTAAAATTGCATTTTACTGGTATCTAATGAGGTCGAGGGTACTTTCAAATCATGGTTGTTGGTAATACCATGAGGATTTCAAATTCAGAAACCAGAATTTGCCAGTTTGAAAGCTTATGGCTTTCTTACTAATTCATATTGCAAGGGTGTGTATTCTTTTAATGCCTGGTGAATCTCTCAGGTGGATGAGAGAGCCTCAGCAATTCCAGTTCAGCTTAATAAAGTTCACTTGTAATCAGATGAGGAAGAAAAGCGAGAAGTCGCCCACTCTTGTATATCAAACATTTTTTGTGTGTGTAGGAATTGGAGTAACTTACAGAGAGCCTGAAGAGCCTCAGGAGATCCTACAAATACTCAAAATTTCTGAAAAAGTTTTATATGGATGATATCATTAACATTTCCTGTGTGATCTTTAATATACATACTGCATAAAAATACAACTAAAGAGCTAGAACTAGACAATTAAAGGGGATAAAATAAAGAATTAAGGTGGGTTATGTACATGTATCAACTTCCATGATGAATCTAATCATTGTGTACTGCTAACATGTATTAATAAGAAAAGGTTTAAAAAGATAAGCAAGGAAACAGTAGAACACAGTGGTAATGTTACTGTTATAACGCAAATGGATAGACATGTCACTACTGGCTGTTGACCTGTACTATCTGGCATACTGTGAACTTTCCCTTTATCTGCTTAATACAAGAGCCAAACTTTGATATACAGACATCATTTAGGGATGATGATATTTAAGTTCAGATGGCCAAAAGTCACTACTGTGAAAGTTGGGGCTGCTCAGGCTACCCTGCTGTGTGGTTCCATTGGTCCTGAATGATTTCTGGGGCATGAAGCCTGTATCGCTTTTCTTTCTGCAGGTATCAGCTGAACCTCTTTGCTAGGATGTGTCTGGACCGCCAATACCTGGCCATCAATGAAATATCAAGCCAGCTGGATGTAGATCTCATTCTCCGCTGCATGTCTGACGAGAACCTGCCCTACGATCTCAGGGCATCATTCTGTCGCCTCATGCTTCATATGCATGTGGACCGAGATCCTCAGGAACAAGTTACTCCTGTGAAATACGCCCGCCTCTGGTCAGAGATCCCCTCCGAGATTGCCATTGATGAGTGAGTCTGGCTCCTTCCCCAGTTAAGACCTTGCAGCACCTTAAAACCTCATGCTTGTGATGCTCTGTGCAGTAGCAGATCAATTGCATATGGCCCCATAGATCCCAGAAGAAAGTTGGTTTTTTTTTCTTTAATCTTATAATTGAGTGGCCAGCAAATATTTCATTCCTCAAGAAAGTATGGTTGTGTTTTTGTGTCTCTTGTTTATTGCTTTCTTTCATTCTATGAATATTTGAATGTGTGCTGTCTGCCAAGATCAAGAACATTAGTGAACAAGCTAGAAAACTATCTGTGTGCCAGTGGGGAAAGACAGGCAATAAACAAGATGAATGACTAAAATATGTACGAGATGGTGTGTGCTGAGGGGGAAAAATACAGAAGGGTCCAGGGACAGGAAGCATCGGAGGATGTTGACTTTTGCGGTTAGGCAGCCAGGGAGAGCCTCTCTTGGAAGAGCCTGACATTTTATGTCCTCTTTCCCCATTTCTTTCAGCTACGATAGTAGTGGTGCATCCAAAGATGAAATTAAGGAGAGATTTGCTCAGACCATGGAATTTGTGGAGGAGTATTTAAGAGATGTTGTGTGTCAGAGGTTTCCTTTTTCTGATAAGGAGAAAAATAAACTTACATTTGAGGTAAGACATGATGAAAGGATCTATGTGTTTTATCTTCTTTTTGGTTGTCATTTTTCAATGGGGTAAATAGGAAATATTTTGGAGGTGGTGATATTTATCATTATGCTCCAATTTTGTAATTTAAAAAAAGGAATTCAATTCAGTTTTGTTCCTAAATAAAATAGAACTGGTACCATTCATTTGGCCTAATAGTAGTCGGGCTCTTGAAAGAAATACGGATAGTAAATTTAATAGTATAAAATGATAGAACGTTGCATTTGTTCTGTACTTTCTATTAAAAGTGACAGGAGAGAACCAGGCTGTCCATGGATGGGATTTTCCATAGATTAATCATTTGAGCAACATAAATCCTGACTACTTTTGAGTTAAAGTGTTTCTGTGACCCCTTTTGCCTTTTGGGAGTTATGTTTCTGAGGCTTGTGCTGTTGTCATCTGTATGGTGGGTATTACTTGGCCTGCCAAGTCTTACCCTTGGGAAACTGTGCATACCTAGGGCTTAGTTCAGTTTTTTGCCAACTAAACATCAAAACAGATGAGGAGTTTTGCAGAGGAGCTTTGCATGTTTTCATTTCTTTTCCCTCTTCTAAAACAAAATCAAATGTGTTAGGCTTGGTGATACATGCCTATAATCCTAGCACTCAGGAGGCTGAGGCGGGAGAATTGCCATGAATTCAAGGCCAGCTTTGACTACATAGTGAATTCAAGGCCAGCCTTGAGATAAGGTCTCACTGTGAACTCCATCTCAAAAGCTATCTCAAAACTCTATCTCAAAACCAAACCAAAGCAAACTAAACCCAAAATAAATGTTACCAAAAATTGCAAGCCTTCCCATTATAAAGAAGGTGAAAATTTGAAGTGTTAACAAGTCAACATCATTTGGAACGAAGGGTGCAGCTTATTTAGTACCATCTTCTTCCCTTTTGAACACAATAGGTTGTAAATTTGGCTAGGAACCTCATATACTTTGGTTTCTACAACTTCTCTGACCTTCTACGATTAACCAAGATCCTCCTGGCCATACTAGACTGTGTACATGTGACGACAATCTTCCCCATTAGCAAGATGGCAAAAGAAGAAGAGCATAAAGGTAACAATGATGTGGAGAAGCTGAAGAGTGAGTATCTGATGGTGCCCATACATCTGAGAGATGCCCTCGCAGCCTTCCCTGTCACGCCCTGTTGTGCCTCATTGCGTGATGCCTTGTCTGTCCTTGTCCATTCCTTCCCGCCTCCTCATTATGATCATTTTCAAATATAGAGAATAGCTGTAAGAGCGGGTCCATGGACTGTCTATACCCATGGTGGGAGTCAGTGACTACTAACACTTGGCTGTCTTGCCTTCGTGTGTATCTGTGCGCATATTTCAAGGAACAATTTTAAAGTGACCTAGCACTTTGAATGTTTGTCTCTCAAAAATACATGCCCTGTCATTGCCTTTCATATTCAAAGGCCCTTGATAATAATATTCACATATGTATATGTTAAAATACCATTCAGACTTGTATCTTGGTATTTCTTAATACTTTGTGAATTCTTTGTGAATACAAATGTCTGCCTTTGTATGTTTATTTCTTCCTCTGTTTTAGAATCAGAATAAGCACACAGTAGGTCTCATGTATCGTTTAACTTTCTGTAGCTGGAAGAGAATAAAAAAGCTATATTGACTCATCTTGCATGATTTGCTAAGTTCTGTGCTGCATTGTTTTTTGCATCCATTTTATCCTGTCATTGAGCTTTTCTCATTTAAATGTAAGGAAACAGCATGAAAAGAATATAAATATAATATACCCCACAGCATCACTTTTGCTTGCACCCCTGGGAGCTGTGTCTTGTTAATGCTTAGCTTTGTGTAGAGTAACAAGCTCATAGTTGGTGACTAATAAAATGAACAAGTGAATTAATATACTCCTTTGGGGATGTCAAAGCCCATGTTCTTCCCACTACTCTCAGAAGTCTTCAGTTTTTTATGGAAAAACTTTTTCAGTTTCCCCGGGTCCTGAGAGTATGTTGTTAAACAGGGGCATGTTAAATAATTTATCTCAAAGACCTCATGCCCCTGCCAGATGTCACAGCACGCTCTGTAGATGTCCTGACCTTGGTCTGTGCTGGCCCTTTCAGGCAGTAATGTCATGAGGTCTATCCATGGAGTTGGAGAACTGATGACCCAGGTGGTGCTCCGGGGAGGAGGCTTTTTGCCCATGACTCCTATGGCTGCCGCCCCCGAAGGCAATGTGAAGCAGGTGGAGCCTGAGAAGGAGGACATCATGGTCATGGACACCAAGTTGAAGATCATTGAAATACTCCAGGTATGGAGCAGGTTGCATGGAGGATGCCCTCGGGGAATTGTGCAGATCTCCTCTCTTTGATGGAGCGCAAGCCTCCCTGGGAATAAAATGGAAAAAATTTTAGCTTATCTCTTCATATCATTAATGAACTGGGTCCTCTTAATCCCTTCATTGTCATCCCCTGGTTATCTCATCCCTGTCCGTACAGTCATGCCAGGACTCCCTGTAGTTATGTTGACTTTCTGTCATTTTAGACTCCTCATCTGTACCCATGGCATCCAGCCTTTGCTTAGAATTTGTTCACCATGCTTCACCCATAGCTGAATTCCCTGCTTACTGTTCATAACCTAATTCAGGCTTCCATTGAATTTGCAAAATATTTCTCCCCTCCTTTCTTGCTCTCCCATTCATTCATCCATTCGAGCAAATATTTCTTAAGACCAATTCTGTGTCAAATCCCTCTGAGCACTGGGGAGCCAGCAGTGAACCAAGGAGATTAAATCCTGCTCCTGAAGCACGTACATTTGGAAATGTAGCGTAGGCGTGTATTTAAAAGTCAGTCCCAAGAGACATTAGAACTTAAAGAAGGGTCAGGATGGTTTGGGGGCCCCTGGGGGCGGGGGTAGGTTGTTGTTTCTGGATGGGATTATCAGAGAAGGCCTCTCTTGTATGGTGATGCAATCAGAGATTGGCCTTGAGGCTATCTAGGAAGAGTTTCAAGATGGAACAGCAAATTCAAAGACTGTGAAGTGGGAATAAGTTTGGAAACAGGTTAGGTTCAAGAGAGAATAGGAGAAAATGAATCAAGTGGAGTAAATAAAATTCTCTTTGGGACAGTAGACCACTTAAACAATGGATACATCATAGCTACCATGTACATGTCTTACCCTAAGACATCTGACAGAAGTTTTCCCAGTAAGGAGCAAATGACCTTGTTGGAGAATAAGAATTACCTACTGGAGCCCAGGCTGAGCACAGGTTGTTGAGGAGCTGAGAGCTATAGTGAGGCTGAGAGTCTCAGACCCAGGACAGGCCCTTCGCTGTAGTCTGGGTCCCATGTCTTCTTCCCCACATGAACTTTGCTCTTAAAATCAGTCTCATTTCTATGTCAGCAAGTTTTGCCTGTTAACACAATTGCTTCCATCAGCCATGTGAGCTTGCTATAATTTTACAATGTTAAAAAAAGTATAACACAAATGAAACATTGCTGTCAACAGTTGTTCTCTGTACATCTTTCAACATCTCTATAATCATTTCACCCAGAGTTGCATGTATTTGCCCCACGTTTCAGCTCTCTGGGTCTTTAGCCTGTTCAAGTTGACACCTGAAGTAGCCGTCAGAGTTAGTTTTGTGTAATACTGAGTCTGAGGCTCTGAGAAGATACCAAGTTGGGTGTATTACGGTCAGTTGGAAACATAGAGAGCTTGGGGGAAAGCCAAACATCTGTCTCCATCTGGGAGAGGTGACATCCCTGAGATTGGGCAGGGTGGCCAAGTGGTCTAAGCAGAGGCAAGAAGAGAGAGGAAGGAAGGGATGTCAGTAAGGTCTTTAAGTAAATGGCAACTGGTTGATCCGTCTTTTCCAGTTCTAGTAATAATCATGGGAAAGGTGACTGCAGGAATAGAGGGTAAGGGAATATAGGAAGTCAAAAAAGAGGGAGCTCAGGGTATGCATCTAAATCAGAGCAAATAACCAGAAATACATTGAAATGTAAACCAACCTAATAGGTTGAAGTTTAAAACAAAACAAAATTTTCCTGTCACTTTTCTTAGATTCAAAGCAGCAGCTTCATTCTTCTCAGAGTTATGCCGAGTTGGCTTTTAGTACTTGCTAGAATGAAGTTGTATTTTCTAGAAGATGGAACAGGGAATGAGTGATTTAGTGTTGCAATTGTTAAATTAATTGCCGGGATGCAGAAGTTTATACTGTTAGCTGAGGAGCTGTGGGCAGACTTGATGTGCTCTGTGGAAGTCTGGTGTTGTTAACACAACCATTGAAATCTAAGCCAAATATTTGGCTCATTAGTGCTTAAGGTAATTGACACAGCTGATACCAGGCCCAGCCAGAGTGCAGTGGCTTGGCAAAGTGTTAAAGGTGGTATGTTAATGTAACCAATCTGTTTCCATTTCCACTTGAATCTTTAGTTTATTTTGAATGTGAGGTTGGATTATAGGATCTCCTGCCTCCTGTGTATATTTAAGCGGGAGTTTGATGAAAGCAATTCCCAGACTTCAGAAACATCTTCCGGAAACAGCAGCCAAGAAGGGCCAAGTAATGTACCAGGTTAGTTATTCCAGAATGGGATTGCAGCCATACAGTGGGACCTGGGTAAAGCAAAAACTGGGGCCCAAGCAGTGTCTTCTAGAAAAAGAATAGAATGCAAACTGTTTTGAGGATTACTGCATGTTAAAGACGAGATCCTGCGACTTACTCTTTGGGGGCAAGAAAATAAAGGACACATTGCTTCAGAGGTAGTTCTTATTGCCTCCGCTCTTGGAGACAGAAGCCAGTTGAGGTTTCTAGTGTTCAGGTTACCTAGCAAGTACTCAGAAAAGAAATACAGTAACAGAAACTCTCCAAGAAACCTTATTTGCCATGCCCCCGTTAAATCATGGTAGTTTTTGCCTACCAAGGAAATAGTAGGGAAGGGAAAGGGTAGTGATAGAAATAATACCCCTGCTGAGCCCCAAACTTTCTTGGAATAAAGCTGTCACTCTTCTTCAGGAAGGAGAAAAATGTTAGGAATGTGGGGGATTGGACAGTGTTATGTGCGTTAGCCTGGCACCATAGCTTTGAAGTACCTGATTTTAGAAGGTTTGGGGCTTACCCCAACAGCTGCCTCGGTAAAACTTCGGGGTAAATTTACCAACAGTGTGTGTTCAGACTGATGTGTCTAAAACGCTGTTGTCTACTTTTCCAGGTGCTCTTGACTTTGAACACATTGAAGAGCAAGCAGAAGGCATCTTTGGAGGAAGGAAAGTATATTTTCAGTTACTCTTTGGTAGAGGACTCTACATTGTTTAAAGCAGCTTCTGTAACTCTCAGAGGCTTTTCCTTGACTATACTAGTAATATTTAGTCTTTCTGCTCAGGTTGTTTTACTGCTCTTTTTGGAGCTCTAAGTACTCAAGTCACAGTTATCCTAAGTGGAGAAAGAGAGACAGAGACAGAGAGAGACAGAGAGAGAGAGAGAGAGACAGAGAGAGACAGAGAGAGAGAGAGAGAGAGAGAGATATCTCAATTGATCTTTCTTCCTCTGACCGAAAGGATTTAAGGAGGTGTCCTAAATGCATACATTATAAGATTACTTTTAAACAGTGAAGAAATAGATTCAAAAGAAAGGCCAGAAAGAGTAATGGGGCTCCGAATAGAGAGGTTACTAACATCTTGTGCTTCTTCCACTGATGGGCCGTGGTTTTATTCCTGAACTCTTTACAGTCAGTACAACAAAGATGACACAATCTGTTCTTTAATTGTTGCTAATGTGAGCTCCTCTTTGAAATACCATGTTGCTCAACTTCGACTTAAAACATTACTTTTATTGTGAGCTCATACACCTACTGCTAAAAGTTTGTACTGCTCCATGCACACATTTCTTACAGTCAGCACACCCAGTTTGCTCATCTGTGACTGCTCACCACCCTGCCTCAAAAACTTTAGGGATTAAGGTTCAACCGCCTTGTTTCGCACAGTTCTGCGGGCTGACTGGGACTAAGCTAGAAGGTTTGTCATGTAGCTGTAGTGAAGAAATAAGTGGCGCAGATACATCAAAGTTGTTTTACTCACATTTCTGGCACTTTGGCATGGATATATATGAGGCTGGGATCTCTCCCTCTCTCTCCACGTTTGTGCTTTTTTACAGCCTAGTGGCTATAAGAGCATCTATCGATCAAAGAGGACGAGCCACCACTGTGCAGACGTTAATTGCCACTCTGCTTGTGCTGTGCTTGCTAATGTCCCATTGGCCAGAACAAGTCCCATGGCCAAGCCCAGCTCACTGCCGAAGGGGACTCCATAAGGATGTGAACACTGCAAAGACCCAGTTTGTTGGGATCACAGTGTCACCAATCTACCTTCATACTTAATGTAAAACTTGTGAAATCTGAATTAATGACATATCTGTATGTTGCTAATGCATTTACTGTGGTGGGAAATGTTTTTCTAAGACTTACGAGTATTTTGAGTTCAGCGTGACATCACTTGCATGTGCCATGAGATAGCTCAGCTCACCAGCCTTGTTCCTCATGCTGAACAGGGTGAGCCTTCTTCCTGCCTTTTGGATATAGCATGCAGGTAGCATTCATGTGTGCAGTCCCCATTCTGCTTTTTTGTTAGCCTTTTTCTTGTTAGCCATGAAGGTCTCACTGTTCGTCATGCATTTGATCGTAAACACCACAGAGATGCTGATACATTAATGTACTAGTGGTATCCAGTAGGCTATTTGATATAGGATATGCCCATTAATTTTTTAATTATTTCAGTAGTGGACAAGTTATCATAGATATTGAGATAACCCCTGATAATGTGTTGATTAATCTCACTTTGAAGAACAGAATGAGTTTAATTGCTTTGTGGAAATACTGTTCAAGGCAGGGTCCATTAAACACTGCTTGTTACCAGTCACACAAAATAAACACAGAACAGAGAGTCATGGCTTGGCCACCCTTATGGCCATTTGACACTGTGGTGCCATCTCAGTGCTTGATCTGGTCTTTCACTACAGATCATTTGATAAGCATTGAGTCACAGCATCTTAAATAAAATGATAACTTAGGAGAAACATCCTTTTGAAGTTCTTGGCCCACATATGGAGCCCAATAGGAGAAGACTCTAATCTTTGTCTCAGGATCTGGTTGTAGCACAAGACTTGTTAGTTTGGGAGGGTACGGACTTTGGTTTAAAATTTGACAATGATAACATCTTACTTGTCCTCTGCCTTCTTAGCCAGTGTAGTTGAAGATAGAGCAAGATGGCAGTGTGAAGGGAGCTGATGCAGTGTGAAGTCATGTGAGAGGGAAGGGAGTATTAGAAATGTCTGGGCCGGGGTGTGCACGAGTGAGGTGTTTGTTGTTCACCTGGTCCCTCCGCTCTGGTGTGCCTCTGCAGTGAGGAGAACACCCCACTGGACTTGGACGATCATGGTGGTAGAACCTTCCTCCGCGTCTTGCTCCACCTGACAATGCACGATTATCCGCCCCTGGTGTCCGGGGCCCTGCAGCTCCTCTTTCGGCACTTCAGTCAGAGGCAGGAGGTCCTCCAAGCCTTCAAACAGGTAGCACCCTTGGCCAAGGTGTGTGTTGTCTGTCTGAGAAGCTGCTGTGTGCTTCTAATAGATTTCATTCGTTAAGGTTCAACTGCTGGTTACGAGCCAAGATGTGGATAACTACAAACAGATCAAACAAGACTTAGATCAACTGCGGTCCATTGTGGAAAAGTCTGAGCTCTGGGTCTATAAAGGACAGGGCCCGGATGAGATCACAGATGGTGTATCTGGTGAAAATGAGCATAAGAAAACTGAGGTGAGTGAGACACAAGTCAGGCTGCCCAAGTGCAAAGGTGCGCCAATTGAGATGAGGAAGCATCCTATCCTGTTCTTGGATAGAAATACAGAGTAGGGGATGGGCTTTATTAAGAGATCTGTTTCAAGTAGTCCAAGTAACCACTGTTGTCCTAGGAAGTAAGCTACAAAGTGAAGGTTCACCCATGTCTTTGGGCTGCCCTGTATTATGTAGATGAGACTTCCTTGGGGAGTGAATGATCACCAGGTTTCCCCTACAGATCCCCTTGGGAATGCACCTGTTCTCTAGCCATGGCCTGGCTTTGCCTCCTCTTCCAAAGGAGCTGAGTGTGAGGAGATGCGTTGGGCACAAACCCAGCATGACTGTTGGAAAACAGTACAAAACTCCCATAAAGGGTACTACCCATTCTGCCAATCCAGCAGCCACCCACAAGCTGTACCAACCATGGTTGTGTTCATTTTGTTCCTTAGGAGGGGAATAACAAGTCACAAAAGCATGAAAGTACCAGCAGCTATAACTACAGAGTGGTAAAAGAGGTAAGCGCACATCCACCTTTTTCTTCCTTCATTAATTTTCTGAGTAGCTTTAGTTAGTGATACTCAAATTGCAGGCACAAACCCGTTGGCCTTTT